CCCTTCTGAGCCTGATCTTCTACCATTATTCCCACATCATGTCGTCTAGACAACTGCATAATAGCCCATGCTCATAGGGCTCGTTGACGTGGCTGAAACCCATGTGTCGGAAATCGTTTCGTGTTGCACAACGCATTTCCGTCCGAGCATTGCCTCGCGCACGAAAGCCTCGGCGATGTAAGAGGCACAAAGTCCCTCTCTCCAACTGACTTGTTACCCATTTGTAGTTGCGACATGGAGTAGGGTAATGTCTTTCACACCGACGGCTATGACTGTTAAATCTAGTCAATTTTGATCTTTCTAACCACACCGAACGTCATAAAGACTTCCGCATCAACTCACACGTGCGCGCGCAGGCAGATCACTTAATCTCTAGGTTTTGCTTTTATACAAATACTTAATCCAAGCGGCCTCCGTCCATATGCCTAAGAATCCTGTCGCGCCTGTCACGAGAACTCAGGAATTTGGGGGAAATGGACGTCTGTGGCTCAGCCATTGTAGCGGCACTGAGGAAGGTATGGGTGGTGTACGTTTCAGATATCTGCGGGGTTTCGAATGGCACCAAATAAATGAGAGAGAAGAGAGGGGGCTGCTTTCTGAAACTAATATATGGGAGAAACTAAGAAGAATTAATAAATGCCTCGCTGTTTTTCGGTGATTGCGGCTCAAAGTTGCCCCTGGGTAAACCTAGAACTCGCGATCAAGTAAACTCGCTCGCGGACTCGACAAGTGAATATGCACGGCTCAACTGACTGATTCACAAAGCCTTTGTTCCAAGTGAACACTGTCTCATTGCGTGGAGACCGTCCCCAATGCTTGCGCCGGCTCCACTTTGGTGCCCAAATCCGGAAGGAGCAAATCTTGGCACTGGGAGGTTGTTATTGTTGCCTCGTCCAGGATGGCAACGCCTTTGGGCGCAATACTAATCAAGGAGAGAAACATGCTGTCTACGAGCCCGAAATAGCCTGTGGTCTCTTCTCCAAGTCCGTAGGATCTGGTGGGAACAGACTTTCTTGAACTCCCGGGTTTTCCGCTGTCCACGATGCTTCTGCCGCAATGGGAAGAGTGAAGGAGGCGAATCGAAACAACACGTCCTAGGTACAGCGCTGATGCCCCATCTTGCTGCGCGACTGGTCAGGCAGCAGATTTTGACGTTATACGTCGAGAAAGGATGCGCTCGCCGTCCGGTCCACTGCCCCTCCTGATAGGCACAAACGTCGCAGATACATACATCCACGTAGTCACTCCGGCTATATTTTCGGGTACAAACTCAGATCCAGTCGAAGAGAATAGTTGCAACATGCTTGGAAATCAAGACTGACGAGTCGGAGATTTGTAATTCAAAGAAATTCATGCGAAGGAAGCGTTTCCCGCTTTCTGGAACTCGTCTGCGTATTCAGTCACTTTCGGACTTGAATATAGCCAGAGAGTGATATATAAGTCTAGTGTCCCCCAGCATCCTCTGAAGACAAACCCCATTGGAAACTAGCAAACTTCAGCCTCGGTACACCACTGAACAGGAAAAGACTTATCCACCAGACGACATGGAGCAAAAGACAATCCTTCTGACGGGCGGCACTGGCAGCATTGGGGCGTGGGTGCTCGAACAACTGTTGAAGCAGGACCACAAGGTTATTGCCGTGATTCGATCGCTCGCGAAGTTCCAGAAGCATTTTGACGAGAAGTACGGCTCTCACCTCGCCAACGAGTCGCTCGAACTTGTCGAGGTGCCCGACTTGACCGTTCCTGGTGTTTTTGACGAACCAGCCTCGAGGGCTGACGCCATCATCCATGTTGCGACACCTCTAACAACCTCCGATTTCGAGAACACCATGATCAAGGCAACATGGCTGATCGACGAAAACCTCCTCCGTTCAGCCAAGAAGTCGCAGAAGGTCAAGCGTTTCGTCATATCAGGTACTATCGTGTCAGTAGTGGAACTTCCACATGGTTTGTTTCAAGACGCTGTGGTCACGGAGGAGAATTGGAGCCCCATCACACATGAGCAGGGCGTGGTGAACTTACCTAATGCCTATGCCTACTCCAAGACGAATGCGGAGAGGCAAGCATGGGCTTGGATGAAAAGGGAGAAGCCTGGTTTTGACCTCGTCGTCCTTCTGATCCCATCTGTCATCGGCAAGAGTATCAACCCCGGCTTCAAACCCAACAAACAAGCACTTGGTGGGATGTCCAACGCATACAGCTGCTTCGTCGACACTCCCCAGCTGAGTTTCGTGTTCAATCCTTGGATGTGAGTGCCCCAACACGATCCGAGTATCCTCGCCTCCGGGCAATACTAATTTCATCCTCAGGGACGTCCAAGATGTGGCTGCTTTGCATGTTCGGTCGGCGGTGGATATCCAAAATGTCCCTGGAAACGAGCGGTATTTGATCAAGGGTCCTGGTGTCTTGGACGCGAATGAATTGGCAGGCAGGATAAGGGAGGAGTTCCCGGAGCTTCGCGGGCGTGTGCCTGCGCCAACCACTCGAGAAAAGAGCGATTCTCCCCCTCTCACCACGTTCGATACCAGCAAGGCCCAAAAGGTGTTCGGCCCTGAGTCGCAGTTCCGCGACGGCTGGTCGTCGATGAAGGACACGATTGCAGACATTGCCCGGCTGGTGCCAACCGCGCCTGCCGCATCCAAATAAGCAGTTTGTAGATATTGCAGGAAAGAAAAGAGGCATGATTGGCAGGGCCAGGGTTGCTTGTTCGTATAGCAAACCTCGTCTACGAGCGTCTTAGGTTAAGTCAGTCAATCTTCTTAGATAGGTCGAAAGTCGGTTTGAGCACATTGCAAGCAGGAATGCATCGAGCGAGCTGATAACGACCGACAGTGGAGGTGGTGGCTAACTGATATCTTTGCTCTCGACTCACTTTAATTCCATTATAACCTGGAATGGCACTTAAGGATTCAGTTAGCTCTTCGTGTACAGAAGGGCTCAACCTGAGGCGTAGTCAAGTAGTTTCTCCATCGTTGCTTAGGGATGGGGTCTCCCTAACGGCAAGTACTACAGATGCCAATTCCCGACTGCCAGGTCTACGAAGCGGTGTGGATCACAGAAGGAGGCGGTGACATGGCTTTGCTGACTCCATATTGTCGTTGTGGAGGGTTGTGGAGAGTTGTCGTCAACTTGCAGAAGAGCCGTGGGTTGGCTCCCGGGTTAGGCGGCTAGCTGCTTCAGGCATGGTCGCGGACTGGGCACGCTGCCGCATTTGACGGCGATAGGAACCTCACTCTGGGTCCATCTTTTGATCGGAGCTGACGCCGTGTTTGGTCAACGAGGGCCGAGGCACTGTTAAGGGATTGCTCGCATCGGTTGCGCTGTATTTCCTAGGAGGAAGTTCCTCACGCACTCACCGTCTTTGCCCTCGTTCAACTCATATTCCCATCTTTTTCCTTCAATATTTTTTGGGCGTCAAGGACGTCGGCTTTCTGTCCCAATCTCTGCGACGACATTCAACGGGCCGTTGATTGGCCTCGTCGCCCAGAGAATAAACTTCTGCAGAGCATGGCCCTCTTGGGACCGACGAGGAAAAGAGTATAATTGGCCATTATTCCAAAGATTGATGATAACTGCCAAAGAGATCCGCGGAATCCCAGCAGCTGCGGTTAGCCACGATGGCCCCGAGCAATCTCTACCTGCTTTCCCACACGGATCGTGAAAGATCCGCAAACGACATCCTCATCTCCTCACTTGCGCAGGGATGAAGCACTTGCCCGGGTGCATACAAGGGTTCGTTAGGTGATTTAAAACAAAAGAGAAATCGACAAGGATGAGTGTGAGATCATACAAATGACGATTCACGTTGCCACCCTTTTTTCTGGTTCAGGACGAGCCTCCCAGAGGCTTGTTACATGAGCACAAGGAAAGAAATCAACCACCTTCCTGCTTCCAAAGATGGATGAATGAAGAGCAACAAGTGCCACCTGATCCACCTGCGAAAAGGTTGAACCAGAGACAGATATGCGGTTGCCTAAGGATCAGAAGAAGAAGGTCAAACATGCACTCCTCTGATCGCAGTTGGCGGCGGCACCAATGTCTGCACCGTGGAGGTCGGTGACAAATTTGGATTGGTGTACTCCAAAAACGAGAAACCAGCAGAGATGTCCACCGGCGTCAATTTTGCCTGAACGGTGCAGAAAAAGACCATCCTCAAATCATCAAAGAGTTGGAAGCGACCGGACATGACAACCGTCATCATCTTGGCTCCTGTTTGGTGCGCATCATGGATGTTCTGGAGTGAATTTAGGCGGCGTCGTCAGAGGCAGTCAACTACGCAGCGGCTACAGAGATAACATGCGCATATATATACGGTGGATGTACACGAGTTGATTTCTGACGAGCATGTTCCATCTGGAGATGAGTGATGCTGTATCCCCAGTGGTACCGTAGAGTTGCAAAACCCGAGTTGTGCAAAGGCAAGGGAACGGCCAGCATGGCATGAGGGCTCAGCCTTTCGTCTTCGAGCACCTTCAGGAGCTAGTGAACAGTGCGTCTGATAGAGCTTGAGCGGGTCAACTGACCAGTAAATACGTAGCCTTGTGCAGTAGTTCGCATTGAACACCAGCTTTATTTGTTTGACCCTTGACAAAGATGAGGCTCTTCGAAGGATGCTCATTGAACCATTCTTTCTCTTCTCGTGATACGTGCCACTGACAGCATATGTTTCACCCGAAGCGAGCTGTCAATCGTCGATCTGGAGCAGACTGCATGATGAGACAGGCTATTGGGCGCCTCACGAGATTGGCTAGAGACGTGGCTTTTGGAGGGTCACACACACACAGAGTCTAAGGAGGCATAGATTTTCGACTCCCCGTATTAGCTGCCCACACGAATGGGGCAAGAAAATATCTTGCTACTGAAAATCAACAATCATAGGCAGAAGCACATTAGCCCAGGCCCTCTAGGGCCACAGATCTTTGCACCAAATACCAGTCAGAATCATCATCAGCCCTTCAGCGCTGCCATCCTGGGCGGGTTTGAGTTCCGGATGTCTTCGGGCTGATGCAGTGTCTATCAGAGGTGTGGCCCAGGGGTTTCGATTGACGGACTCGGTCGCTCTCGCTGAAAACCTTCGATCCATTTCGCCTTCTCTGCAGCTATCTCTTGTGCCTGTCGCGCCTTATTCTCCTCTTCCTTCTTCGCCACGATTTCCCTCGGCACTAAAGACAGTCAGCGTGTTTCCATCCCCCCAAGTATGAATGAACTAGGAGCAGATTTGAAGTCTAACGCACCTTTCTTCATGAAGCAGGGATAGATTCCGGGGTTGCTGGCGTAATACCACTTGTCGCAGGCTTCCTGGCCCAAGAATATCTCGTGGTCACCTTCGGAAACTATGAAGAACTCATCTTCCAGACTTTTCGCCGAAGTTTTCGGGGCCCAACGAAGCCGCAAGGACTTCCTCTTCTCCCCGTTCATGTCAACAATGGAGAAACCGAGATCTTGGACGCATGCCTCGGTGATTTCACAGCGTTGATCGCTTTGCCAGTTCTTTTTGGCCAACTTCTGTGTTGGTAGTTTGTTGTTACATTCTATGACGATTTCGCATAGATTCGAGTCTGATCTCGCGTTGTCCGCCATCCTCAGAGCAGCGTCTCCTTTGCTTTTTCTCTCTTTGGTGTGTCTCTATTGATCCTTAGAGGACTCACGAGGAGGACAGAAGGGTTCGATTTATAACCTCAGGACTCTGGTAAAGTTGCCTTACCATAGCCTCACTTGCAGACCACCCTCAATCTCGTGCTGCAGGGATTAGGAGAGCCATCGAAAGGCTGCCTCGCATTCTTCAGCATATAGGTGAAGGCATTGGCCAGAGCGTCGTGGTCGCGGCCCAATTGCTGAGAGGACCGAGGACGACGGCACTCATTGCCAACCAGGTCGCCTACACCCGGGCAACCTTGTGGCGTGTCGCCAGTCCAGAGGGCGATCGATAACAATGTTGAAGAGGCTCTCGATGACATTGTCTCAAACGGACTCATCCCAACAGCACAGCAGCACTATATTCGGAAGCCACCTTCAGAAATTGCCCCTGTAAAGCCCATTGTTCAAATCAGCCGCATCGCTAATGGCGGCAGGCGGCCAGCTCAGCACACCACCACAGCCATCTCGGGCCACTTGATTCCTTCTTTTAGGATTCGAAGCTATTTGTGCAACCTCTACAAACGACCGGCCATGGGCTTGGCGGCATCTTGCCTTGCTGGAACCAAGGCACCCCTCTCGAGGAGTTTTGCGCCGAGCAACATGTCAAATCTATCATCGTCTGGGACCACCAAGAAAGTGTGTCGGTAGTAATGAGCACCATCTACAGAGAATCTCAGACTCACTTTACCCTCGACTTTGATTTCCGCTCCCTTCACAATCCCTTCGAACACCACAAGTCCTCCGGCCTTTATGGGTTGGCTCCGATCGATGGTGGCCAGGCCCCAGGCTTCTGCCCGAACTGCAGTTGATTCGCTTATCAGGCTAGGCATACACCCTGTGTCCTGCTGAGCCCGGCCTAGGTATCTGATTCCTCCGTCTGTTTCGACGACGATATCAATCATATACCCATTCGGCTCCCCAAAGCAAACTGAAGATACACTTTCAGTTGCGGCCGAATGCGCCACATACTTGCCCCGGGCATCACAACGTTGCAGCACATTTTCTTGCTGTCTTGACTCCACTGGCGTCATGTTGTCGATCCGGGAGAAATGCCTCTTGTCAACGACCACCTTATATAACCCAGAAGTGTTTTGATCTTCAGAAACGCCAGAGCTTGAAAGCTATTGGCCTTCCCGCTTGTCCCCCGGAATGTGGCTACGTTCGACTGTGTATGTCGTTTGCTGCGCCACTCTTGCTCTTGAAGTCCGAGGCCTTTAAATGGAGATGTGCAGGTCCTTGTTTTGACGCGTCCAGATGGACTGGATGCTCTAGATCGGCTGCAGTCTCACTTCGAGTCACGAGGTCCTTCGGCTCGGATGGCCGAAGATTTGTGGTGATGGCGGTGCAGTACAGGCGTCGTTGCTAATGTATCTGAACGGAGTCGGACGTTGGATGAAGGGCAAATCGAATGTCGATGCAATGCAAGGGACGCGGAACGCTTGAACGGGGAATGCAGTGGCGCACTCGACGACGAACGCCGATATGACTTGGGAGAAGGGAGAGAAAGCGTCAGGGTTCGCAAAGAATGGCACAGCAGAAGCGTCAGAAGGGTTCAAGAGCAACAGAACGCGGTAAAGTGCATGGGCAGGAACATGTAAAGCCTTCTGTCGTGCTTGAGATCATTGCAGGACGTTAGAGTTTTGGTGCGTGTAAAATTCGTGGTGCGGAGTGCCGAAAGTCGACCGCGACCTCCACCACAAGCCGTGGATAGGAACACTCAACCTTTCTTTGCAACGACGCGCTGTTAGAGCGGCGCCGAACGAATCCAACACATTACAAGTGAATCAGACTTCATACTTCCTTCCTCGAAGCCGATCACTCGGATACTGGCCGCTGGCAGCTCCTCTACGAAAGCAGATGACATCGCATCTTCTTGTATCTTTGGCCGAAGGAGCCCGTTCTCGCAGTCAGCCTGAGCATAGGCCCCATTCTGCCGAATGCATTGTCGCAGATGGAAGAGAGAGAGGACGAGGTCTTTATACCAGAGCCCATGTCCCACAGACACCGCCCAGATCGAAATTGGCAGGCCCAGGCATCCTTGGCAAGACAATGAAACATTTCAAAGGAAGACAAAAGGACGACCATGCAGACTTCCCTGGCTTTTGGGAAATGCCCCCCGTTTTATCTCCCTGGGACGCACCGGCGCTGGAGAAGAGAACCACGCTCGCCATGCTTCCTTTGGACCGGAGCTGGCATTGCTAAATGCTAAGCTGAATGTGATTGGAACTTGACGCTGCAGCCCGCTGACCCATCGCTTTGTTTGTCCCACCTAGGAGCAAGTTCTCGGGATACGCGGCACGGCTCGTTCGCCTACCCTGCGAACTGGTGTCCGTGCTAACTACGTGAGGAACATCCTGCGGGCCTTGGGCATGGGGGTTCACATGCAGATGCCTCACTGCGACCGGCACCGTCCATTCAGGCGGTGGTTGCCATCGTAGGTCTTCCGGGCACAGTGCCGTCTCAGTAGCAAGAGTCGTCAAGGCCGTCTCAACATCCGATGAACACCATCTCTGAAATGGACGATTATTCTCGTCTGTCATCGGTGCAAGCCGGTCTGCCCGAATTCGCCATCTTTCGGCGATTCATGCCTCTGCAGGCTCTCCAACTCAACGTTTTGCAGGCCGAGATTGCACACCTCAGGCAGGGGCTGGGCTTGCACCCGGAGTTGGAAAGAAAACCTGCAAATACGGAGAAATGGGTCCCCAGTTTTGCTTTCGACCAGGCCCAAACTTCTGGAGATCCCCCTCCCAGCCCGACGCTGAGGGCTCTTTGGGATCGGCTTGACGCAAAACTGGAGAGATATAGTGCGCAGTCCCCATCCGCTGATCTCTAAGCACCTCCTAACTAGATGAAAGACAACGCACTCCTTCACTACCGGGCTGTCTCTCAATTACCCTCCGTCGATCCTTTGCATCACAGGCACCTTCGCCGATGGAACTTGGACCTTGAAGGCGGCCATGGCTGCTTCCATGGGGTCGAAGCTGCTGTCTGGGATGAAGAGAACGCAGAGGATCTCACCTCAATAGCTATGCCCACCGACCATAGAGATCCTCTCACGTACTTCCTTCACACTCGATTCCTCCCGTGGTACCACTCCTTGCTCGGGCACAAATACAAGCAGCGCATCTGTATTGCTGATGCATACACGGGTGCAAGACAGCAGATGCCGATCTACTCTTACTCGGACAAGCTAGTGCTCCTAACCGTGAATATCTGCAGCACAGTCTTATCGTCGATGATACCTTCGCTCTGCTCACTTGCCTTGTACTTCATTCAGCGTGGAGGCGCCAGAATAGGTGCGATCGTGGGCTTTACCTTCCTATTCAGCATTGTTACCGTGGTGGTCACACCGGCGAAGAGGATTGAGACTTTCGTGGCCACTGCAGCCTTCGCTGCCGTCCTCATTGTCTTCGTTGGGAATGGGACTTGACATGGGATGCGCTTGTCAAGTGGTCTTGAAATCGACACCCTGTGGACCTTCCGGGGGACTAATCCTAGGACCAAAGGAAGCGCTTGGATATGCACGGCTCACAAGTCGCTCACTAGGCTCTGCGAAAATCAATTCCCAGCGATCATCTTCGTTGACAAATGCCTAACTCCATGGCCTTCGCTGCGGAGACACGCCGGAGGATCGGGAGACACGGAGACCAACTCGTTCGATGTTGATGTTGCTCCATACTGGTCTCGCACTTTCTCAGCAACGAGTCATACAGTGACGTCTCTATGCCTCCCACATGTCGGTACCGATTCGCGCCAGATTACTTCGAAAAGTGCAAGGTGTAGGACCGCGTTGATACAGGTCCTAAAAGGCTCAAGTTTCAATAACCTATCAAGGTCTTACACGACGCGACTGAGAGCGGAAGAGTTGTCTGCGCGCACCTTCAATGCGAGGGCTTTGTAACAGCGTCGGCTGGAGATTGGGACTTAAGTATCTCATGTACATGCTAGAAGCCACGACCGACCTTGGATACATTTACTGCTTTCGAAGCATCTCTGGAGAGCACTGAGAGCTGATTTGGCAACGTTCCCTGAGGTGATGGGTTATATGAAGAAATATTGCTGGTGAGGATTGTTGCGCAAAGTGAGATAGATACACATGTGAAATCGGAAGAAAGTTGAAGGATCGGCGCAATGATTTTCCGCTCCGAACCCCACGGTTTCCCTGTAGCGGACACTCTCCAGGTACCTCGTACGTGCGTCTGCACCCCTTTCGCTCAACCCAAATACCACCTCCATCCAAAAAGGCCATCCAGATATCCTCCTCAATCAGTCACTGGACGTAGTCATGGAGCCATGTTCACCGGTCCGAGCCAGTATCTTTCCATCCACCTCCCGAGCCCGACCACGGTCAGTTTCACCGTTTCGACGCGACAACCTTCGCAAGCCTGGTCGGTAAAAGGGTCGCCCTCACACTCCTACTTGCCCCGTGTCCCCGTCTTCACCCTTATCAAGTACGCGCTGCGGGTCCTGCTCGTCCTGGGCGTTGTTCTCGTCAACCTCACGAAAGGACGGATCGACGCGCCGCACTCACAACTCGACGCGTATGTCGACTTGGGGCTCAAGCTCAGTCTGGCCGGCGGGACGATCAGAGCAATTGCTGAACACGCCGAATGGTGGATTCTGGGGCCCGTGAGCCTCGGTATCATCTACGCGTGCCTAAGGAGGGATTATGTTGGTACGTTATGCCGTCTCGCTTCCGTCTATCTCGTGTCCTCGCTCAATGGGCGTGCTGGGGGCTCTTGGTATCCAGGATCAACAGCAATTCCTATTCCAACATCGCTTGTTTTCCTGACACGAGCCATGAACCTGTCCGTGGACTGCTCTAACTCGTGGCACAGAAGAGTCCCTCTTGGTCCTCCAAGGTCTCGGGATCCAGACATCCACATCGTCGCGCTACTTCTTCACCGGCGCAACGACGACATTCATCCCCACTACGCAGATACAGGATATCGTTATCCATGAAGCCTTCAAAGGGCTCGAAGTTCGATTTTACCTGGCGGTGATAGTCGAGGGGGCTACGGAGGTGGTGGTCGTCTTCCCGGTAAGCATTTTCTTCCGTTGGCGGCGACGAACTGGTTCTGATGCCCAGCGAATTCCGGACACTGACATTCGTTTGACCTCCAGACTCTCCTCCCTCGTCGGGAAATCCTCGAGGAAGTCTGGCGAGGGGGTCGGAAATGCTTGTATTCCGGCATCCGCTGAAATGGAGCACCTCAATCCTACTCTACTTCCGCATTCGTCTCCTCGAACTCTTCCTCTTTGGCTTTGTCTCTCGCCTCCCGACTCTTCGCCCATTTGGCGTTCAAAACTTCCAAGGTGTCCATCCGCGGCTTCTTCATCACAGGGACATACCGCCCGCTGATCCTTGCTCTGCTACTCCCATCAAAGACTTTCTGACTTCGTCCACCGGCCCTTCGGGGCCCGTCTCGTGTCGCTCCTCTCTTGAGAGGCGTGCCATCACCCTGAGAGATGGCCAGATCGAGCAAACTGCCAGCGAGGAGCTCTTGCATCTTGGCATCGCGCCACTGGGTCCAGAGCTCGTCTATCACGGAGCCAGTGCCGAATTTACCGTCATTCTTAGTCGAGTTGGTCGTGAGCGCAGGCACGGTGGCTGCATCTCCGGCATACAGCCACCCCAAAGAGTCTTCCAGCATTCCGCCGTCTCCGGTATCATTGTCAGGGAATATGCAGTCCCACAGCACCAATGGCGCGTCATCCGCCATCTCGTACGTGGGTCGACGAGGATTCTTTTCAATATCAAGCAATTCATCGATAATGCTCGGTTCCTCCAGCCCTTGACCGACAAGGAACAATATCGCCACCATGCACCTCACCTGATGCCACAGGAAGGCGGTGCCGTGGACACAGAAAGTATATACCTTTGGACCTCCAGCCAACGCTGGCGAAACCCCGTTTCCGAGGACAGAGGAAACCAGCCCCGTTTGGTTCAGACCTTGATGTTCCAGAAACATTGTCCCGGTCTCGGGGAACTCCACCACATCCGCAAATGTCACTCTCCTCACACAATTGGGCATCTGCTTGCTAGCGTCGATCTTGCAAAGGTTCCTGAAGTCGTGTACGCCCACGAGTTTCCGTGCGGCTTCCCTCATTTTCTCGATATCGAGCCAGCCCTCCCGGACACTGGCCGACCCCTTTCCATCCGCGCGCTGGAGACCGAGAGGACCGGGGGTAGGGCAGAATGCCGGATTGGTGAAGAAGTATTTATACCGGCGCTCGCGACAGGAGAAGCGCGCGTCAAATGTCGGTGGCGGAGAAGGGCACCAAGCTAGGACGCGGATGTCGGGTGGAAGGATTGAATTGAGGAGGGAGATGTACGGTAGTTCGTCTTTGACCGGGTCGAAAGGCTTTGCATGGTGGTCCGCGACGAGGTCGGTGGCATCTATGGACGGCATAGTATCGTCTTCGCCCTCCTCTTGGCCATTTTGTTGCTCTGTGTCCGCTTGCCGGCCGTCCCCTTTCTCAACAGATTCCTTCGACGGAGGCTCTCGACTGGTTCCCAGCGCCCGATTACTCCTCACTCTAACCCCAATAACCTGGCCGAACGCAGACACGCCTCTGTCCGTCCTCCCGCATTTGCTATACTGGCACCCCTCCCAGCTGAGATCCAGCCGGACCTTGCCCTCGCCCTCGCCCCCGCCCTGTCCCGCACGCTTGACATATCTCTCCCTCCTCTTGTCCTCGGCCCAAACCACGTCGTAGCTCTGGTCAGTCCCCTCGGCCAACTCGGGCGAGATCAACCTCGCCTTCCGCAGCGCCTTCCACAGCACCTCTTCGATGGTGGGCTGTGGCGTCAGGTTGCCGTTCGCGTGCTCATACCCGCCGTAGCGGCTGCCGATGTACGCGAACTTCAAGGCGATGTGCCGGGTCGAGTACAGAGCGGGGTTGAACGCGCGGGCGCGGCGCGGGGATCGGGATCGATTGCGAGATGGGACCGTTTGCTGCGTGGTGGTGGTCGTGGATGCGGTTTCCGCGGTGATGGACCAGGGGGGAGGCTTGGTCGTCTGAGTCAACGACGCCAGAAGCGCCGTCTGTTCGCGCAGTTGGCGTTCGAGGGTCGTGATGCGCGCGACCAGGTCGGCGGTGGTGTAGCTCGCGTAGTTCGCATCCGTGCCAGCAGTGCCAGTGCCAGCCGCGCTGTCCACGCTTTGGTTCTTCCGTGCGTCAGTAGGCGGCATTGCGAGGCGCGAGGATAGTCGAATCGTGGGTGGGCGGTGTTCTGCAGCAGCGCGGCGCCGCGGAGAAAAAGTATAGATTTTGCGGCAGACAAGCCGATGTGGCACGAGCCCGCTCGTGAAGGAAACTGGGACCGCAGCAGCAAAAGTAGGCATCAAACACACATCTGCAGAAGGGGACGTGAAGCGCACATAGCTTTGCGCCAGAAAACAATGTGTGTCGACACCGGGGACTGGGTGCGTTCCAGGATTGGGGAAACAAAAATTTGGGTGAACTTCGGCATTATGTCGTCCGAGACGAGGCTACATCAGAGCCTTGCGGTATGAAGAGAAGAGACATCGAGGCTGTGTACACCGATCATGTTTGACTTGGATTTGAGGAGTCCTATCTTGATTTTCTAACATCTTCCGCCCTCGCTAGCGGCACTGAAGGGGATGGCATGTCGCCCTTGATGACCTTCTCACACGCTGCACGGCCTTGAACGGTGGTAAAAAGCCCAACGAAACGGCAGTCCCTACATCTCTTCCGGCCTTTGGTTGAGTTGGCTTGTAGATCCACCGTCTAGGAGAGCCAGACTCGTGGTCAGCAGTAGTCACCTAGTCCACTGTGTCGTTGTTTTCCTGTCGTGCTTCATGAAACTCTTGTTCTTCGTCGTCGCCTGGGCTGCCTTTATTGCTTGGTGCAACATTGCCGACCCTTTCCTGCGAGTCTTGAATCTCAATCTCATCCTCTGCATCATGCATTTCCTCGTCTTCGTCTTCTGTGCCGTCGTTATCTTCAGCAGCATCATCGACTGCATCCTCTGCCCCGTCTTCACCTCCATCATCCGCATTCTCTCTGGATACTTCGTACTCTTCGAGCATGTCCTTCTTTTCTTCATCCAAATCTTCGAGCTCACTTAGCTCACTTGCCGAATCTTCTGCGTCGGCTTCTCCATCAGCGCTGTCCTGAATAGACCCCCGCCGAGAGCTCGCTCTGCTACCGTCTATGTCCTCGTCCTTGGTTTCGGCCAGCCGTTTGTCGATTGGTGCTTCTATTCCCACTTCCGCCTTCGAAGGCAACTCCACAATAGGTGTTTTGGAAAGAATGGGCGTCTTGATTGGTGGCGGCTTCACTATGGCGGCCTCTGCTTTGCGCTGGATCTCGCGTCGGGTAACTGTCTTTGTACGTCCGGGTCTGGCTCGTTCGCGCTGAACTTCGGGAATTGGTTGGCCACTTAGAACCGGGAAAGGTGTGGGCGCGTTTTGAAGCCCAAGTCCAACAGGCGCTGAGATCGACACAGACAACGGTCCGTCAGCAGCACCGTCGCCTTGTGCGCGGAGCACGTTGGCCAAACGAGCACGTTCGGCACCGTCATCGCCACCACCAGCAAAATCAGTCGTCATATTGATGAACGTGCCTTGTGGGAGGGCAGCAGGATGTGGCTTGGGCTGGTCTTCTGGAGGCAGTTGCTTGATGAACTCTTCGTAAAGACAAGCGTACGAATCCCCTATGAGGTCGTCGATGACTGGACCCTTCATCAGACTATTGTTAAGACGTTTCAGGTCGATACCGTCTCGCATGATATCCAAATATACTGATGTGGTGTCGGGATCATGAGCCCATTTCTCCATCATCTCTGACTTCTTGGTGAATTCTTCATGGTTCATGCCGTCGAATAATGCTCGTTCCCGACCTTCAGGTATTTGCCCTTGTCGTCTCAGCAGCCGCACATATGTTGTGGCGACATCCTCCCAGACCTTCGTGTGATCGAGAAAGTCTGTAGTCTTCCTTCGAATGCGGCGGACCAGTGCGTCCAAGTTTCCGCGATCGTTGAGCTGCTCTAGAATGTGAACGAAGAAAGAGATGTATCGCCCAGTATAGACATAATGACGCCCGGGCCGCTCAAATTCAGGCTTCCAAACTTGCATCGTCATGGTTTTGGTGAATATCTGTTGCGTGAACTGATGCTTAGCACCAAGTGCCCCGGCGGCATTCGGCTCATCATCATATATTACATGCGCAGCGCGGTCTGTGATCCTATGATGCCAATTGGACTTGTCCGCATGTCCAAGTTTTTTCAAGATATCCAGCATGTAAGGCACCCAATCGACCCCTTCTTGGTCCTCGGACAGAGGCACACCTTGCGCATAACGTGATGCCTGTAGATACTGGAAGGCTTGGGCACGTGAGATCTTTTGGGTGCTCACCATCTTGTGAACGATCGACACAAGTTTGAAATGAGGTTCCAAGATTGGCTCATTGGTCTTCTCCTTCTTAGGGAGAGCCTCAATGGCCTCGATAATGGCCTCTATGACGGCTTCCGCAGAGACACGACCTTGATTTTCAGCGCTTCGAAACATCTTCCACAGACACTTTGCGCGGGTGTAGTGAGACGTCCATGGTTTGGGCCGATCCGTCATTTTCCTTTCGAGAAGGTAAGCTGCAAAATGCCACAGAGCATACTCTCCCAGGGGGTTGTGATATGGTTGCTTAGACATTCTCATGTCAACGATGCTGCTCATATGACGTATATGTTTATCGGTCTTGAATGCTTCCATACTCAGTGGCGGACGAGAAGACGCATACAAGCGAGTGGCAAACTCTGTGAGCATGTCCTCAACCTTCTCTACAGTTTCCGGTCGGTGATCAGCAGATCGCAAGGCTACCGCGGTAGCCATGATGTAGCTGTGAATCGCTTGACGCTCGAGCAGAGCAATATCAGCCCTTGAGTCATTGAGTTTGGTGGAATTCCAAATCAAGTCGTCTTCAATCTTGGCCTCGTAGACCTGTGCCAAACGATACCAAGTTTCCCATTTCTCAATGTTGTGATCCAAGTCCTGACGGAAGAAGCTCGCAGCAACATCCAAATCGTCGGTTGGCGTTGGATTGACTCGTTTTATCGACTTGTATTTCGCAAGCGTGAGATGCCCAAGCATGAAATACCAGCCACTGCTTGCAGCTATCTGCGTGTCCGCCTGCACAACACGTGTGGGTAGATCACCAATACCTCTGATGCACCGGTACAAGTCATTTGCGTTGATAATCGACTTCAGGTACGAAGAAATGATTCGTTTGTTTTGCTGCAGCGTTGGGGGACTCTTAATCACCCCTAGAGCTTGCTGCATTTTGTCAATTGTAGCTTTGAGCTCGCTTTTGTTTAAGTCTCTGACGTTAAAACGTTCAGCATATTTCATTATCGTCGGGATCAAGGACCAGGCCGTCTTCTTGTCCAGATTTTCCGGAGGACAGCCGTGGTCGATATCTCCAATACCACTGGCGAAGCGGAGCTGATAGAGATCGAAGAATACTTGAGCAATCTCGCCAGTGTAGTCCTGTTCCGCAGCGAGGCCTCCCAGTTCGGATTTGACCAACTTTACAAAGGACTTATTGGCATGTTTGCAATATTGTCGGAGGCCGAAAGAGTTGTGGACTGTGCAGAGATATTCTGCCAGGTCGTCAGCTGCTCGCGGGTACAACGAAGGCTCTTGGACAGTCGCTTCCTTCAATAGCGTATATTGCAGAGTCCATGCCCGGACAAGCATTTCTTTGAATCGATCCTTGCTCCTCTCGTACAATTTTGTTGAGGTGGCGCCTTTGAGTTGAGGCCCGGTAGACTGACCCACGCGTATTGAATCATCGTAGATGACAAATCCGTGTAGCAACTTCACAAGTTTGGCGACTGCCCTCAAAGATGAACGAAGGTGGGCACCATCAACACATTCAAACGGGCTAGAATCGGTGAGGACTTTCGTTAGCAATCTGATCATCACCTCGTCCGCATCATGTAACCATTTGAGCATCGTGATCTGCCGACTCGTTGGTTCCGTTTCAAGATGCCGTGGAGTAGACAGTTCCTTTACAATGGTCTCAATCGCTCGGAGAAGACAAGACACGATTTTGGGGGTATATGAAATCGCTGTGTAAGCATTCTGAAGCCGTCTCCATAGGTACAATTTGAGTGCCGCGTCGCCGGATTCAAGAAATTGGACGAGCTCTTCAGCCTGGGTTGAGTGCTGGAAACCGGCACTCCCTTCTCCAGATTTAGGGGTTGACTCCAAGATAGGCTCTAATTTCTCGATTACAGCCACAGGGTCGCTGTTATCGTCGTCGAAAACGCTCGTGAAGAAATCGCGCGTACTGAGAGCGGAGAGTTCTCGATCAATGGCAGCCACAGAGATGACAGACATCGCAGCATTGTTCGGTAGGAAGATCGGGTCTGCATTGGTCTTCTCCAGCAAGGCCTTCAGCTCTTCGAGCAGCGAAACAATATGCTCTTTGGCGACATTGTCGTCTAGTCTTGCCTGGGCAACTGACGCCCAGATAAAGCGGAGAACCAGAGGATCGTTCAGCCCAGCAGCAGGAGAGTTGAAATAGAGTTGCATAAATTCGCTCGCCAGACCTGACCATCTCTTCAGGCGGTCTGCATGGCCGATTTGACTGGCATAGTCAAAGTCTCCGCCTGATTCGGAGGTTGTAGCGGCCCGATCAAGGAATATCTCGAAGAGAGACTCGACCATTTCAACAGCTGAACGGACTTCCGAGTTTATTCCATCGACTTGCTTGTGACTCGAATTGGAAAGGGAGGAAAGGCGCTGCTGAAAAACCTCCCATAGATATTGCTCCATTATACGAGCTAATTCACCCACCATGTATTTAATATCGACCGTCCATTTCTCACTTAGATACGGCGATGGACATGGCTTGCCCAGGCTGTTCGAGCCAGTGAGAACCGAAGACAACCAGGAGCTCGCGGCTTCGTAGATATTTGATGGTTCAGCATTGATTAGAGTGACCAGGGAGCCCAGAATGACTTTGTCGGAGCTCCTGGGGCGATCTATCTCCTTGGGAATATCAGGTTTGAGGTGTTGCAGGAACAAAGCCATGCCGGTCGCCTTTTCTGGAAAATCCTGATTACTATGACCGTTGACGATGGCTTGGCCCTTGTCATCTGACCAGTTCATCAAGACCAAGCGAAGGTCTGAAGAAAGTTGTAGGTCTTGCTGGGAACTTTCGGGACCACCCTCTTCGGCTTTCTCATCGGTAGCCGTCCAGAAAGCTTGCCTGGCTTGTTCGGCTGACAAGTATAGTTTCATACCAAGCTTGATCAGAAGGGAATTCGCTACGTCGAATGTGGCTTGATCCGCCTGCTCGAAGATAGCAAGTTGGTCCAGGAAGTACTGGGGATCTTCATGCGATGCTTCATCGTCTTGAGCAGTTAGGTCGACCATTGATTCTCTCGCTCGCAATCTTTTACTCTTTGCTCGCCCTTCGGTTTCATCGTTGCCAGCAACTGTTGTTGAACGTTTTCTCGATGGTGCTGGACAAGGTCGCATCACGATCGTGTCTCCATCCGGCGGGTTATCGTTCTCTCGCTGTCTTGCTTCGCTCAATTCATCAGCACCCCGATCTCGTGGTGATTCTTTCTGAGGTGGCGGCTCAATCTGGTTTCCTGTCTCTGCTGGATGTTGGACAGGACTTTGCGACGTATTGTCCTGTCCAGCGCCGATGGCACTGGCTTGCTTGCCCACATTGTCAGACGCCGGTGCCGTCTCAATTCCGTGGTCTGTCATGTTCAAGTCTACTCCTATCGTACTGGCGCTAGTGAGAGAAGAGTCGCCATTTTGAAGTTCTTCCATAGTCTTGAAAATCTCCTTGCCCAGGGAATACAGATCAGGAGAAGTCGGTCGTAGAGATTTCTGGCTCACCGCGAAGCTCAGAGGGCGATACTTGTCATCGAGGTATTCGAGAGTTGTTGTATGTTTCGGTAGGAATGGGTATGGGTCATTTGATTTCTTCAACATGTTCAGAAGCCTATCCTTTGGTCGTACGTCCGAACTCTGGAGACGGCTCAGGTCATCTTGGACCAGTGTGACTACTTCCTCGAGTTCCCCAGCTGCAAAGGCTTCATCGAGACCTGATAAGTCGATGGTTTGTTCGCCATCTTCATCCTCGCCAGCTAGGACACTCTCCAAGCAAAATCGTGCTATTCGCTGAGTAGACAGAACATCTGCCACACGGGCAGCTTTCTTCCAGGAGTCGAGATCGGTGTCATCGCGCTCAAGGGCTTGGGCGAACTGTCTAAGGCTTTCTTTGCAGGACTTGGCGTAGTACTGACAAAGTTCGGAGCGAGAGCCCCTCTGGTTTGAGACGTGGTGGCGAGCAACATCCAGCAGAAATTGACCCTTGTTCTTGAAGGCGAGATAAAGAAGTTGTGGGACCGAGCTTGCGGAGGAATCAGCGGCACTGCTAGGGAGCAGAGATAGTGCACCGGCGTCTGTCTGCGCGACGACGATTGTCGCCTCATCGTCAACTTCGTCATGTTGAAAATCCGAGACCACATCTGGGTATTTGAAGACTTCGGATCTCAGAAGTTCGTCGTAAGCATCCTTGGCTTCTTGAAAGTAGTCGGGACCCTGAGAATGAAGTTTCAGGGCATTTTGGTAAAGTTTGAAGGCCTCTTCCAGCTGGATCTCTCGCGTGTCATCGATCTCCTCTTCAAAGGTGTCTTCAGGTTCGACATTAAGAGCGGTAAAGGCAGACATGATGAGTCTGGTGTTAGAAGTTGTCTGTTTCTGCCAATATTGATCTGCGACAATTCATCCGGTGCTGGGTGAGAGTCATCTTAGATTCAGCGTAGATGATGCAGCCTTTGTTGACGGACACAGGAGACGGATGAGATTGCCATTCAGACAGTGAAGATGTCGAGGTTAATGGTCGTTATGATGGCGTTATGATAGCGTATTGTCTACCGTCAACGCGTCCAGATGTCGACAGTCGAAGTCGAACGCGAGGCGACAGTCGCAACTCCAGTTTAGGAAAGCTTGCCGAAAATGCACTCAATTGATCCTTCAACAATCCCCGGGCATTGATGAGACACGTAGCATCCAAATTTCACGCAGTAATAAGGGCTTGAAGACCTTTTTGTTTGACGGCGCTCGTCAGGTCTTCTACTACTCCTTTCCCAACGCGAGTGTCAGCGAAAGGTGCTGCCGGACCGCCTCGATTGCCTAGCTTTTTATCAATCTGTTCTCAAATTAATTGTCCACTTCCACCCAGAAAAGGGTGCGCCGCCATGGTTGCGCCGGCAGTGCCAGAGTCAGTCGCCCTCCAGATACTATTTATTCGTTGCTGTCCCTGCTGACCGTCTGTTGCAGGATCATTGAAGATGATGAGATCGGCCTCGCTGTAGACGCACGCACAGAAAGCCTCCCAGGACTCCGCGAATTGGGCCCTCCTGATCTTGTTCACTTGGTCAAGCAGAGCGTCAAAGCTGGCAACAAGCAGACTGGCGTTTACCACCATGTTACCGGCATCGATGCCTCCTCCTCCGCGAGCTTGGCGGCGTATGTCAACACTCTGACGTTCAATCCTGCGGACAAAACGCACAAGGTGGTTTCAGGGCTCTACTGTTGCTACAATGCCTTTTCGCATCTAGATATGCGGGTCGAAGTCAAAATCCCCGGAAGTGTAGAGAGCTACTGTGTGGACGAAAGGGGAGACAGAAGAGTTGCAACAGAGAACTTGTGGCTGGAGACATTTCTCTGCGCAGTGTTGCGAGCATATTCATACTCAGACAATGGTAGCGGTGACACGATAAAGAAGATTATTGGCGTCCGAAGATTCAATCCCATCATTAACACTGAGTTGGAGCACCGTTTCTTCGAAGCTGCCGAGAGATTGTTCTTCAGTGGCCGTCAACTTGGGTCGGACCCCGAAATACAAATCCCCAACCTGGTCTCCAACCATCTCACAGCGGGACTTTTGAAATACATACGTACAACAGGACGATTCGCATCAGGCATCAACTTGTTCGAGAAGCTACGGACAAAGGACGTCGAAGTTTCGTCATTACTGGCCCGGGTGCTATTGGACGGAGACGAAGAGATCCAAGCCGTGCGGCTTCTACATGATTCATTGCAGGATGTTCCGATGGACTATGCCCTTCTTGACTGTCAAGCCGCCTTCTGCCAGAGCAAAGGCGAGGGTGAGATGGCTTTGGAACTTGCGAAGCAAGGGGTCACAGCAGCTCCCAGTGAATTCAGTACTTGGGCTCGACTGGCAGAGGTGTATGTTGACCTTGAGCAGTGGGATCTGGCCTTGCTTACCTTGAACTCCTGTCCTATGTTCTCGTACCAGGATAAGGACTCGCCTAGGATGCCCGAGCCAAGTCGGGTGCTCCTGCCAATCCTACCCGAGAGTGCGCTGGATGAGATCGACGAGGGACAGCCCAGGCACGGAGAACCATTCGATCAAGTCCATGTCTCATTACGAAAATTACAGGCAGCCACGTATCAAGGGACCTTCTTGAAGGCATACAGCTTACTGACACGGATCGCTGCGGCCATCGGATGGGACACGCTCCTGAGGACCCGCAGTCAGGTCTTTGTGATGGAAGAAGAGTACCGGTCTGAAAAGCAGCACCAGGTGACCCCGAAGATACCCACTAGCAAGAATGCGAGCACAATCGCCCTGTCCGGCACTCCGAATGGCCACTCCAAAGCGGATGAAAACGGAGCAGACGAAGATGACGAGTCAGACGATGGCTCTGGTGTGGAAGAGCCGAAGAAACTTGACGAGGAGAAGATTCTCGATGAATCTTCCTCTACTGCACCTACGCTGAACGGCGGTGTCAACGAGAGTGAGAACGCCGAGATCAAGGCCCACCGATCAATGGAGAAACCGGTGCCCACGATTGCAGCCGAAGAAGTCAAGTCGGGCAGTGATGAGCCGGATACGTCCCATTCACACTATCCACAATTCCAGAACAAACGCCTGTGCGAGCGGTGGCTCGACAACCTCTTCATGGTATTGTATGAAGACCTCCGGATATACACAATATGGCGGACGGAAATGGGCCAGTACCGGCAACAACAAATGCAGTATAAGAAATCAGCCGCGGAGTGGGAGATCCTGGGAGACCTTGCTGAGCGGTTACATCACACAAACGAGGCATTGGAAGCATATCAGCAATGTTTGAACATTCGATTCTCTCCAAAGGCTATGAAGGGTATACTGCGGATGTACGAGAAGAAAGGTGACACGAGGAATTCACTGGCGTGCTTGATTCGACTTATCACCTGGCAATACCGATGGTACTCGGAGGTAAGCAATCTACACCAGAGCCTTCGATGTTTATGCTGATTGACGTGACAGTTTTCGCCGGAACTCTTCTACTCGATACGGAAGCTCATTGAAGAGGAAGGGGCCGTCAAGATCCGCTCTATCGTCCAAAGCACCAATCTGCCACAACATGTGCTGGACTTGACTCACGAATACTGTCGCCTGTGTGTCACTTTTAGAAGCAGCGGCACCGATGGATGAGTGATGGGCTACGAGACTCTTTATGTCAGGTACTTGTCTTTGTACATGAACGTGGATCGGGTGTTCTTTGCGTTGTTGCTCCTGAGCGACTTCCCAGCGGCGGCGTCTTGTCAGACTCAGAAAGAGAGGATATCAGGTAGAATGAAGACCACAAGCTTAACCGGGTCTGCTTGTGTCCACGGTCCATAAAAGAAATTCATACCACAAATGGCGGGTGCCTTCAACACCAGCTGTTGTCGCTGCACTGACATTTTGCGTATATACTGCCTATGCGCCTCCGAAGCAGTGGACTACGGTCGATCACTTGCCATTGCACCCCATCTTAAACCAGCCCGATCATTGTTCTCTGACATGGACCTGAGATAGACCATCAACATCCCTCTATCAACCACTTCAAACTTCTCTTCCGCCCCATATCCCGTGAGGTATCAGTTGCTTGATCGCCTCAAGCGTACGCAGTCTGCATCCCCAAAAGCATTCCGTTGCCGAACTCCCGTTCCAGCAGCCTTGAGGCGGAACGGCAGGGCTAGGCAGTGAGGAGGCTCTGAAGACCAACCCACAACTTTCCATCCAACTCTGCATCCACCATGTCTAGCCAGAAGCGCATCACTAAGGCAAGAGAATAGCCCCTGACGAAGGCTGCGGAGTCTGTATAGTGCTAACCCTGCGCGTCAGGAACTCGGTGAACTCACCACCTCTCCTCCCGCCGGAATCACGGTCGCTTTGGCCGATGAGGCGAATCTCTTCCAGTGGAAGGTCACCATGGAGGGACCAGCTGGATCGCCGTATGCTGTAAGTTGTCGCCAGTCTCTCCTGTGGGCATAACCCTTTGTGCTCGGCGCAGATCTTGCATACTGTCCGGGCCAACGCAGCCTTGCCCAGTCCTTACGCTGCGGCCTGTCACACTGGACATTGCAGAATGGGCACAATCAAACAGACACAGAAGAAATATTTGCTGACCTACCTTCACTTCCTCGCTATTTCCAGGGTCACCTCTTCAACCTCTCCTTGACTCTCCCACCAAACTACCCCTTCAAACCACCAACTGTGACCTTCACCACCAAGATCTACCACCCAAACATCTCCAATGACTCTCCACCAAACTCCGGCACCATGTGCTTGGGCATGTTGAGGGAGTCCGACTGGAAACCTAGCACGAAGATCGTCGCAGTCTTGGAGTTCGCTCGACAGTTGTTGAAAGGTACGTTGACACTGGAACCTTGCCCTTGGACCCCTCTGAATGATCAAACCCTGTCTCTCGGCTTGCATGCCTCACGATCAAGTCCGAACCGTTGCGTTCGCTCTACCCGAGCACGAACACTTGAATCTGTGAATGTTTGCCTTGGCTGGGATGAGTCGGGATGTGAGGAGTTGTAGGGGGCCTCAAAGCCTCGTCAAACCGTGTCACGAATCTCAGTTCACCAGTGCTGACACGATGTCGTTTAATTCGCCTTTAGAACCCAACCCTGATGACGCCGTCGAAGGCAAGATCGCCGACCAGTACCGCAGTGACTATGCCGCGTATGAGAAGGAAGCCCGCGAGTGGGTCAAGCGCTATGCGACGGCCAAGAAATGAACCCTTCACCACGTTGTGACTTGTCTGTTGCGCAGTCCCGGCCTCATTCATGCGGTATTAGAATAGGATACTCTCTTATCTTTTTTGCAAACGGAAATTGCGGAAAATGGGAAAATCCGATTCTGGGATATGTCATGTGGGAAATGATTGATGTGGTCACGGAACATATCGACAAAGACACACGAGACAATGATAAACGACATGGCGACGGGTGAGGAATAGAAAGATCAGAGTACCAGGTGAAGCAGGCGCGATGACTCTGACACAGAGCTAGCGAGCAGGCATGCATCCATACGGTACGCATACGCGCACGCACGTATCACCGACAGCGATTATCGGAGGCACAGAAAGGACCACACGAAAGCCGCAAGCGGATGAGCACTCAGCTCTGATGCGAAGGCATCGCCGTGTCTAGCATACAACAATAAAAAAAAATCACTCTTCATTCTCGCTCTCATTCTCATTCGCATTTCCCTGAGCGACATCGTCGTCCAGATCGTCGTCCCAATCCTCCATGTCATCACTGTCCCACTCGTCCTCGTCCTCCTCGTCGTCATCTTCCCCAGCTTCGCCGTCACCCTGGCTAGCATTGATCTTTGCATTCTTCTTGGCCAGCTTCTTCCTCTCGATATTCTCCTTCTGCTCCTTCCGTCTTGCCTCTTTTTCCTCCCGCTTCTTCTCCCACTTCTCCTCTAACGCCTTCTCCTCGGCGTCGGTCTTGGTCACAAACTCGTTCCACATAACCCGTCCTTCGCAGATGCCTTCTTCCACTTTGACCATGCGCAGACGCATTCGAGGACCGAGTTCGACCAGTTTCACCGCTCGCTTCTCTACGTTGGTTCCGCCATTTGCCGCGGACTCTTTCATCGTCGTGTCTTTATCTTTTTCCCCATTTTGATGTTGCTTTTGTTGCTGCTGCTGTCTTTGTTGCTCTCGCCTACTCAGCACTCGCTGGGTCGTGGTTTCAAGAACTTCGATTTCAGCATCTGTATCCAGCTCGGTCTCACTAGCAGACGTGTAACCCCCGGCTGATGGGTCGAGGAGATAGTCCGCGACGTCCTCCAGTTTGCCCAGGTTCGGCAGAGCTCCCGACTTCTTCTCTCGTAGTCGCTGCTCGCTTGGATCAAATCTGCGGACTCGTTTTGAAACACCCGTTCGACGGGTTGTGATTGCATAGTGGCGGAGGTTGATTATATATGTACCATCAGATTGAGGTTCGCGGTTCAATAGCAAGATTCTTCGTATTGAGCTGAGAGGGGTCGTCTGTGGGGATATGGGAGGAAATATTGACTGAAATATAGTAGTAGTAAGGGACTCGAGCTGCTTCTTGATAGGGTCGGCTTTTGCATCTTCGCCTGCTTGAGAGGTGAAATTGTTCATGACCAGGAGTGGCGCATTCAAATATTCCTTCCCTCCACTGCGGGGATGCTTTTGGGCTTTCGCTATGTCTTTGCATAAAGCGTAACGTTCGACTCTGAAAGTCAGGGTCGGTCCTCGGGGCGTGAGCGCAACTCTGAGGTGGACATTGCCGGATTTCGAGCGCGAGAAGAGGAAGAGGTGCGAAATACCCAGTGGACCAGCCATAGCGGTGTAGTCTTTTAACTTGTTCGCTCGTCGCTCCTGGGTAAAGAGGTCAACATTGAGCATGATAGAGCGATACACCGAGTCTTCTCACTTTTAACCTGCTTGCAGTATCCGGCTCCATCACTGCTCGAAAATCTCGCGCCAGCTGCGTCACACTGGATCCGACGTCGCCTGCGCCCATGCGGATAACCATACTCTTGGGCCGTCGGTTCGCCTGCCCCGGCTTTCCAGGCCCGTCATTGTTGGGCACATGAGTCCTCTTCTTCTTTCTTGCCTTGACCATGGTCGGGTACTTGCAAAAAGTCGTTGGACGAGGAGAAATGGAGGCTGGCGCAGGTGCAATGGTGATATTTTGAGTGAGGAGCAAAAAGTCGGAGACAACTTTTTCTTATCGATAAGAAAAATCCACCGGTGGAGTATTGCGGCGGACAGCGCAGCTTGCAGCTCTGGCACTTCACAGGCTAGATCTCAAGGACTCTATTTTGTCCATACGCAATTCAGTCAACCTATTCCGACTGCCGAAGGAACCCTGCTTGGTACTAGGTAGAGAGGGAACAAGATAGAACAACATTTGACGAACTCCTCTCCATCGGCGTCGGAACTCCTGGACAATTCCGTGTGGCCTACGAGTTACTTCTTTGTGGCCTACCATGTATCTGGTGAGTCACCTGGGGTGCTATGAGCAACAGCGCCCCTAAATTGGATGGCCACATGCACGACGTGCCCCTATTCCTCAGCCCCCTTCAGCCTGATGAGGCCTAATGAGCCAATTCTCAATGGGGAGCCCGCATGGCCCGGCATCCCCGCATCAACTTGGCTGGCTAGGTATGGCGGGTGAGGCTGCGCCCCTCACTAATGGCCACAAACGCCCCAAACAACTTCCGCAAGGCTGAGCATCTTCATCCCGGTATGAACGTCAGCAGTGAGTCACCAGTCAGAACGAAAGACAAAGAGTATAAATCCTTTAGCAGCCTGTCCAAGAGCTCCTCAAGAGTACGGGACATGATTGACTTCCTTCCCAGGGGCTGAAAGGCATCAATCCCTTGATCCATCTGCACCAACTCCTTGCCCTTTGCATTTGACACAGCGCCTATTCTATAAGACAAACTGAGAATAAGATACCGCGATGCCGCGCCGTACCCACGACTCCATCTGCTCTGAGACACATAAAGACCTACGATCTCAGAGACGCAGCAGAAACCGGACCTCGAAGCAAGCCGAGAAATACTATGGATATCGCTGCGTGCAACCCGGCTGGATCGACCAGGAGTACCTCTCTGTGACCCGAGTTCCCCGAGAATGCTTCTATCCAAACATCAACATATTCGCAAGCTGCGCCCCGCTCGTCACAGATGCCGCCGACATCAAAGTTGCAAAGTGGACAAAACGAGACATGTGGCTAGACCGCGACGTGGATATCTGGCCGCTCGACGTAAGACGCCACAAAGGGAGGAGGATCCGGGAGAAATACTGCTGGAAGTGGAACGAGCTCGAATTTGGGCGCAGGATGAAGCAGAAATCCCGGTGTCTCGAATTCGCCGCTGAAGATGGCGAGTTCTTAGCCCTAGATGATGATCTCGATATGGACGCCGCGGTCTGCTGGTTGTGTGAACCATTCTGGGACGACGAGGAGGATCAGGGTCGCAATGATCGCGGTGAGCGGCCACCTCGCTATGTTAGCCTCGATGGCGAATGTTACTCCGACGACACTCCCCAGGAGGTCGACGCCGACGACGTGGACGGTCCCTGGGAGAGGGAACTCCTTGACCTGTATTGCGACAACGGCGATGGAGATGATTTCAGCGTCATTTCAGAGCGGGAGGCATTCGATGACATGTCGTTACCTTCGATTGAAGATGATTATGAAATGGTCTGAGGAAGGACGACGAGGCGACAGCAGCCATTCATGGTGACATGGACTCTGTACACTATTTGATGAAGAAAGCGCAGCGCAGCGAAGCTTGAAAGTGAAGAAGCCATGATGCTCTCTTAGCGCTAATGATTGGAAACAAGTCCTTGACGACGGGCGAGACCCCGATCGACCAAGCATGCATTCAAATGAGCGCAAAGATTGAAGCTAGAAATGCGCAATGACAATCTATGTCTAGCCAGACTTTTCCTCTAAGGTAAAGACAGTGAGATCTTGGAGCAAGCCTCCCGTATGGTCAAAAGAGAACGATATAGACTCTCAATCTGCCCCCACCCTCTGGTAGCCCTGCAGAGTCGAGCCTTGAAGCTGGCAGTCTCTCACATAGACTCGAGGTCCCTGCCCTTGCCATCGGCGTTCACATGGATTTTTGTCTTGCCATCCAGCACCGGAGACACGCCTGCGCTCGACGTGCCGCCATCGGTGCTGGATTTGACACCATAGATGACCCCCTGTTCGATCTCGTCGAGGGTACGGCCTTTGGTCTCGGGGATCAACAGGGTGCACAGGGCAGTGAGCGCCATGATCCCGGACAGAATTCCGAGGACGGCAGGCAGGCCAATGGCGTCCGTGAGCGAGCCAAACGAAAACGCAGTCACCATCGCGCCCGCCTTGCCCGACGCTGCGGCGATACCGTGCGCTGTGCCGCGGACGCGGGTCGGGAAGACTTCAACCGGGATGAGAAAGGTCGTGCAGTTGGGTCCCATGTTGAGGACTAGTTGCGACAGTGTGAACAGCGTTACCAAGCCGGCGGTGGAGCTGTGGTTGAGTACGCCCGCCCAGATGGCGTACAGGACTGCGACGAGCGCGCTGCAGTAGAATTGCTGCTTCACGCGCCCGATCCAGTCCGGCAGGAAGATTCCGATATAGTAGCCTGGGAGATACCCCTTTCGAGGAAGTCAGTATGAACTTATCAATAACAGATAGGGAGAGAAAATCCCATCTCACCGCAGCCGCTACGATAATGTTGCCAACGGCAGTATTCCACAGGGTGTGCCATGGTGTGGGCCCCTTGCCGTAGCCAATTCTCGAGAGCACGATGCTCTGGTTGAGGTTGACACCGTAGAAGGCAATGTCGCTGAACTTCCATCAGTACGTTGTACCTAGGGTACAAGGAGTAGTTGACTAGCTTACAAGAGGAACCAGCACATGCTGACGGCAAACAGGACTTTGGCATGCTTCCACTCTGAGAAATACTCCCGGAAATCTCGGAATTGTTCATGCAGGCCTCGTTTGCCGTCCTTCTTGAGAGATGTCTCCTCGGCGACATCTAGAAGTTGTAAGTGAATACCTCACAAAGCGGCGGGAGTCCTCACATTGTCGATAGGGTGTGCTCTCAGGCATAGTCAAACGGAAATATAGCGTAATGATGAGGGGAACAAGTCCGATGCCGAACAACAACCTCCACACCCATTGCAGGTGGTAGATGTTGCCATTGACAGAAGATTTGAAGGCAGCCAAGAGGATGAGGTAGACTATGCCTGAGGTCATGCCTCCGAGACCGATAGAGGCAAACACTGTCAGAACAAGTTTGGCCCGAGACCGCAGAGGATTGTGTTCGGCCGACAAAGCTGAGGTCATCGGATAGTCTGCGGCGAGTTAGACATCAATTCTCTCAAAGGCTTTTCGTCGCTCCTTACCTCCGCCGATGCCAATACCCGTCACCACTCGAAACACAGACATCCACGCGATAACATCATGGTGCGAGAAGCCCCTCCAGGGCATCAGGACAACCAACAAGGTACCAAGTATTGTCAACATGAGCTCTTTGCCGTAGATTCTATGACGGCCCAGGGCATCGCCAAAGATTCCGAAACCGATCTGACCCACGATCATGCCCATAGAGAGCGATGCTTTGATCGTGTCGGCTGGTACTGTAGGGACCGCGTTCTTGTCATCTTGAAAGTATAGATATCCGAGCATGGGAACAGCTGCAAGAGTCAGCATGGAGATAACATAGCTTTGGAAAGGGGGAAGGACCAAGTCCAATGCTCAGGTTCAGGTACCCATCACCAAACAGACCAACACCTGCCACCACCAGGAACTTCAGGAAGGAGAAACTGGAAGCTGTGTTGAACATGATCAGAATGACGAGGAATTGCTGATGTAACTTGACTTAGGGATACAGGTTGGTGGTCAACATCCAAGCTCGACCTTGTTGCCCTCGTTGCAAATATACATCTTTTCGACCAGCCTGACCGGACTGAGGGCTTCGCACGGGTCTCGGGCCAAGACCGCGGTGGCTGTATATCCTTCGAGACACATATCTTCTGGATAGACAACCTGTGAGGTGATTGAGATAGTCGATAACGAATTGAGAGACACAGGGTAACCACGTGCAAATACGGTTCAAAGATAATCTCACACGATATCAAGGAGGTTTGAACGGCCCCTGTTGACTTCTTTCCGGCACCTGGGACGAAGACCGCAGGTCCATAGAAGGATTCAGCGAAGATTCCATCCAGTTCGGGTCTTCGAGGGAAGAAAAAATCAGCCACTCGCCGACTGGGCCGAGATGTCTGGACTCGACAGCCTCGAGATGAGCGGGACACGGCTGGCCATATATCCAGCCACGTGGACACGGTCGTCGGGAAAAGCGCATCATGTAATGACCGCATTTCTGACAGAAAGGACGGGGTAGGGAGGTGAGTTGAGGTGTAATGTCAAAACATATGCGCGTCTTCACCCCGACTCGCGGGATCCAATCACGTCAGCAACTTCCTCAGGCCGCAATTGGCTGGAGAAGCACGACATCATCGAGCCGCGATCCAGGCAAAGACCCTTCCTTCTTCTCCTCTCCTTGTCACGACTGCCCGGACAAGTGCAAACTGCAATCATGGCAACGAGCCCGACCGCCCCCGGCTCATCGGCCGTGCAGGCTCTGCGAGAGTCCTTCGGCGATCGCAAGCCCATCGACATCAGCCGAAAAATCACAGCGTGCGTTTCCTGTCGGAAGCAGAAGATCAAATGTAACATGGGGGACGGCAATCCGCCGTGCGTCAGATGTAAGAAACGAGGGCTGTCATGTGTCGTCAATCGGAGTTTGCAGATGCTTCTCGAGAGCGATGTAGAGTGAGTTCGGTCCATATCCACCGCCAAATCACTTGCACGAGACAACATGCGCCAGTCCCATGACGGCAATGGCAATAGCCACGACGTTGTCGTCTTCCAGCATCCTCGACATGGCTGTCACGTACTGCTGTGCAACCACGTGGACGGGGCTGGTGCCGTGCTCTCCGCCAATCAGGTGTAGGCTTAAACGGACACAGCTGACCCCAGCAGATGGAAAGCCAACATCGAAGAGAAATTGCGCATGCTGGAAGACTCGGTCAAGCAGCTAAGCCAACGATCTAGCAGCAACCAAGATGTTCCTCCTTATCCCCCCCAGGAGACTACCTCTTCGAATCTCCCCACCAGGCCGGATGCCATCATGGCCACTGAACAGCCTCATCCGACGGAGCCTGGCTGGGAAGTCGTCATGGACTTGAACAGAGGGCCGGGAGTGGTACCGGCGTCCTGTGTGTCAGAAGTAGCAGATGCCTCGCCAGGGATGACTCGTCAGAACTTGACTGATAATCTCGACATCATCGACCAAGGCATCATAACGCTTGATGATGCGGAATCCTTCTTCCAATTATATGCTCGACGTCTCGATCATTTCTTGTACAGGATTTTGGCAGAGCACGACTCGCTGGCAAGCGTTCGAAGAAGTTCGTCTCTCTTGACCGCTGCAATATGTGCCGTGGGAGCCCTCCATACTCCCTCAAATTTGTATCACATTTGCTATCAGCATTTCGTCAATCTGGCGTCCTCCAAGATGTTTTCCAAGAAGAACAATCATGACGATGTTCGCGCGTTTTGCATTGGTGCTTTTTGGATAAGTGATATGTCCTGGACCCTCGTTGGAGTAGGCAAGTGTGCACAGACTGGTATTTCCCTTAGGACTCAGTGCTGACCCTGACGCCTTTTATAGCTGCTCGGCTTGCGGGAGAGTTGAACCTCCACCGCTGTATACCCAAAGCTCCCCACACAAAGCGCGCCTGTTATCTGCGTACTAGGTTATACTATCTCGTCTTTGTTTGCGACCACCATTTCTCGATCTGCTACGGGAGGCCGCCTTTGACGAGGGATTTTGCCTCAATCACGCCTCCAAGTCAGTTTCTACAGTCTGAATTTGCGACCGAGGACGATGCTCGACTTGTCAGTCAGGTGGAAATCTGGACAATCAGCACTCGGGTCTTTGATCAATTTAGCCTAGATCCCGAAGCCCATCTGTCCGATCAACTCATCCCACAACTCCGCCGGTTGAGCATTGCATTGGATACCTGGCGGGCTGATTGGAACGAGCGATTCCATTTCAATGAGTGCGTCGGAAACTACCCGCGGAAGGGCGTAGGTCTGCATTATCATTTTGCGAAGCTATTCCTCTGCTCGCACGCCTTCAGAAGAGCGCCTGTTGCCGAAGGTGAACAACTCCAACTGGATCCTGACCTCGAGGAATTCGCGACAAGTGCAGTACATTCAGCAATTTCGATCCTGCAAGTTATTGCTGCAGATCAAGAGATTCAGTCATACTTGGATGGGCTTCCAGCCTACTTTGATACAATGATAGCGTTTGCCTTCGTTTTCCTCCTCAAAATTACCATCAGGAACCCCGCCAACCTCCGAGTGGACAAGGCCGGGATATCTGAGACCCTGGATGTTCTGGCGACCGTCTTGAATAATATAACAACTTCAATGCACCCACGCCATCTGCTGAGCAGTATTGCGGCCAGTGCACGGAAGCTGTTGGATCGGTTTTCTGGCCAGGAAGCTGCTCCGGCTCATTCTCAGACTGTGCCAGGTCCCCCGACTTCTTTTGACCCATTCAATCAGTGGCTTAGTCCCACAGACGCCATGTTTCTTGAAAATTACGACTTCCTCTATTCGCCTGGCGCCGACTTCAACGTTGACCCCGATCTCGGCCTCGGCTTTGCGCACCATCAGTAGGTGTGGCAGTGTATCTCTCACAAATTGAGGGCCAGGTCAAAAGCATCGAAGTTCCTCCATTGCCGATGCTCAATTGTATTCGTGACAGGAAGAGATCTTAGCAGGGGGATTGGCTGCTCAGAGAGGCCACCGTGAGATCGAAGTCGATGGTCGCGTAAATTGTCGAGCGCATGTTCTTCCTTCCGACTTCCGAGAACGGCATTCTCCTTGGAGACCAGCACAAAATCTCCCTCGCGGTCGAGGGGCATCTCGAACATTTGAGCCGCCGTTGGTCCGTCGACAGCGACTTCGATTTGCGGGAATAAACGACAGTACGTCAAGGCATCCTCGATGGTAATTTCTGGTCGATTTAAGTATACCCGCACAAAAGAACCCAAGGCGCCATGGTGGCGGACGAAAGGATCTGTGATCGGGCAGATAACTCTTGAGGAGCCCTCGCCGAACTTGCGATCCAGCTCTTCTTCAACAAATAGGACATTTGGTGTACCGTCGTCTTTGCATTTATCGCTCATTCCATGATCTCCAGTCACAACAACTGTAGCACCCAGTTGAACCAAGCGACCGACGCAGTCATCAATGGTCGCCATGAAAGCATTTGCTTCCTTGCTTCCTGGGGCAAATTTGTGCTGAACATAGTCGGAGAGTGTGAGATAAAACAAATCAGCCCGATCTTCCTCGAGCAGCTTTATGCCTGCCCTGAGCACAAATAAAGACAGGTCTCCTGAGTATTGGTCTGGAGTGGGAATGCCGAGCCACTTCTCAACATCAGAGATGCCATTATCGGCGAGCGTACATTTGTTGGCATATTGGGCTGAAAAGCAAATGTCTCCCCGCGAGCAATTCAAGCCGTGGTTGATGATTGCTCTCAGCTTGTCTTTCGCAGTTATGGCGGCAACACGGACGCCTCGCTTCGACATCTGCTCCAAAATGGTCGAACCTCGAAGCAATGCGTCATCCACGATCATTTCCTCCTTTCGAGTTGTCCGGTCTAGGAAGAAGTTCCCCGAGATACCATGTAAGGCCGTCGGTGCCCCAGTGATAATGGAGACGTTGTTGGGATTGGTAAATGCTGGCATGGCACATTTCGCCGTCGTAGCGAAGCCTGATTGGACAAACTTGGCCATGTTGGGGGTATTACCGTCGGATATTCCTTGTTCGAGGTATTCGGGATCAAAGCCGTCGACACAGATCACGACCGTGGGCCTCTCGGGAAGCTTGTATTTTCTTCCGTGCAATTCAAAGACCGACCGGGATGCTACACAATGCGTTCTCATGGTCAGCCTTTCGCACCGTGAGGGTGTGAGGAGCACGATTTCCGGCGCTTACCGAGCAGGCTTTTGGTTGCCATTCGTTCATAATATTCGAGCGGCAGTGTCGCCATTTTGGGTACCTTGGCCAGGTCGTCCCAGCGTCGAACAGCCAGTTTTGCCTCGAGGAGAGGGTCTTTCTGGGCTTCGACGACCTGTTCCTGAGTGAACGTACCGCCCTGGACTTGATCTTAGGCCCGAATCCAAGAATGCGCCGTCTCTCTGAGATTGAGGGCTAGAACCTGGCGAGCACTGACCTGGAATTTCAGAGTCGTTTTACTGGATTGACTCAGGCCCGCATAATAATCTTTGTCCACGGCTGTCAGGTATCGCTTCGCCATGACGTGCGCACCAACCAGCTGACAGATCGACTCATTAAAACCAAGGACACGAAGGTATTTCTCGCCCAAGATCTCGTGACTTCCACTTCCAACGAATACTCCATCTGGAGCGATCATAGCAGGCATTTCCTTCGCTGCAGGAATGAATCGCCCGACATCATGAAGCAACGCGCCCAGCACGGTGTCATCGTCCGCACCTGCCTGGACTGCAAGCTGAGCGGTCTGCAGTGTATGTTCAAGCTGGGAGACCTGCTCCCCCAGGTAATCGCCTTGACCTTGGGCGGCTATGAATTGAAAGAGTTCTTTGACGCATTCACGGGCATGACGCTCGATGGAGGGGAGCATTTTCTTTCTTTCTTTCTGTCGGTTTGGCGTCTGGATTTGTCTTGTCGAACTATGGTAGTTCGGCACGATGATTATTTCAGATTGAAGTGTTGAGAGTTGAGGATCCTAGAAATTTCAGTAGGATTTGTCCTCAATTTGGATGCAATTGTCCTTCTGGACTCTCTGCCTACTGGGCTCAAAGTCATGGAGGCGGTCGGCAGATCGCCGACAACAGTCACCCACACCGGACTGAAGATCGAGCTCTGCAGCCTAGAGCGATCTGCATACCGTGCCACTCGTTGTCATTTGGTGGAGATTCCGTCTGGAGTCTGGACAGCGAACGCGACAGTTTCAAATGCTCGGACCTCGAGGAAGACCATGTTCTGCGGGCATCAGACGGAGTTCGACCGAGTGCTTGGCACCGGCATGAAGACCGCAAGGCTGGGGTTATGGCTACGAAACCCCTATGCAGCCGTGCACTATTAAACGGCTGGGAGCCTTGGCCGATCTGGGTTGGAATGTTCCAGGAGTAAGTCTTTCGTCCGAGTTGCTCTCAAGATAAGCCTAAAACAACTTTGAACAACCGCATTTCCATCGCTTCAACGAAAAGACAGGAGCCTGACATGGCGTCCTTCGTGCCGGGCCCCGACTTGGTCCAACAATTCCACCGTGACGGCTTTCTTGTTCTCCGCGCTGAAGAGCATGGCCTCGTCAGACCTGAGCAGCTTCAGGCCTGGACAAAGGAGGTGCGCGAGTGGCCGGCTGAGAAGGGCAAGTGGATGCCATACCATGAGGTCAACACAGACGGGTCGCGACAACTCATGAGGACGGAGAACTTTGTCGACTATCACCCCGAGTTTCATGCATTACTGTGCGGCGACGCTTTGGCGAAGATACTGAAAAGCATTTCGGGAGATGTAAGTCAGATTGGTCCTGTTACAACGAGGGCGATTGCTGCTTGCGAAATGTTTGCGGTGACTGACTTGGAATTCGGGTCGCAGGACATGCTCCTCTTTAAAGACAAGATCAACTACAAACTTCGGTCAGGTAACGGGTTTGCGGCACATCTGGACGCGCCCGCATATGACCACATTGGCAAGATCGAGCACCTCACAGCGAACTTCGCCGTGGACGAAGCGAGCCCGGAAAACGGCTGCATCGAAGTCGTTCCGGGATCGCATAAGATGGAGGTCGAACTCTCGCACGGCGGGGCCATTTCCCGATCCTGGGAAGACGGCCACGAGTGGACGAAGGTGCCCCTTCGGCCCGGGGATGTTTTGTTGTTTGGGAGTCACCTCGCACACCGGAGCGCGCCGAATCGCACGAACAGCAACCGAAGCAGCATCTATGCAACATACCATGGGAAGAGTGACGGACTGGATCTGAGACAGAGATACTATAAGCATCGGAGGGAGAACTTCCCGCCTGACCACGGTGAGTTTTTCAAAACGCGCGCTTGGTGATGCTACTGGCTATGCTTTCCCTTTGGTTTTGAATAATGGAAAGAAGCACGAGGCTGACACTTTACTCCTTTTGTTTCGTCACAGAGCGCGTAGCTGGGAAGGATTATAGCCAGGGCTATAAGACGTACGGGTTTGCTGCCCCCTTCATGTCAGAGAAGCAGGTGGAGCAGGATAAGGCCAGGGTCCAGCCTGTCCACTGAGCAAGAAAGGGGAAGGGAAGGGGAAGGAAGCGGGAAGGAAGAGCTCTCCGTTGAGCTTTTTTCCCGGGGAAGTACATACCATGTTACTATCGCCACCTAGGTTACTCTTGAAAAGAAAACCCCTGTCTCCAAATACAGGTCGCTCCCTAGCGAGTAGGTAGACGAAGCTCGCCAAACCCCCGAGCTTGAACTCAATCTCCTGGAACACGTGGTGTTTAGCACCTCTCGAATTCATCCTGAGCAGAAGACACCGGGCCGCAAAGAGGGACTTCCCTTGTCCCCATCTGACTCCAGAGCAATCTCTCATCATGGTGTCTTTCTCTTGAATTGATGTGGTGTGGCCACAGCTTCGCGGGCGTTTCTGGGTGGCTGGAGAATGTTGATGTTTTTGACTAAGCGATGGTGGTATGTATATCGCCATGCAATCTGGAGGGTCGGTTCGGCGAAAGTCCGAGAAAGTCATAGCCCATCGTGGAATGCATGTGGATTCGCGCCTCGCCGAACTGAGTGAGCATGGAGAGCCACAAGATTTTCCCCATTTTGGGGACAAATTTCAATGTGTTTCCCGTGCTCTCGTGTTCTATGAACAATTACCTCCAGCGGCTCGCCGACACTGGCTACGTCAGGCACCAAAGGGGGCTTGGGACTGGGAGAAGCCGGCGAATGAATCAAAGTGCCAAGCAGCCTCGCGAGGAAACTTGCCCAGACCCGCCAGCACTCGATGGCTCAGGCCTCGTTCTGGGTGACTTGATGGTGGTGATGATGATGATGATGATGATGATGATGATGATGATGATGGCGGTGGCGGTGGCGAACCGGTCGTTTCGGGCATATAATTCAGGCACGCCTCCACGGCCTCCCGATATCCATTCCCCATCGAGTGTGCGAGAAGGGGCACCCGCTTGGAAAGCAGGGCCAGGCGCAATTCGTCGAGATTCGCGTACTTCCAGCGCGCCGTCAGCGTGCGCAGCGTCGTCCAGAGGCCGATCTCCAGGAGGACCAGGCCGAGGCTGTAGAAGTCGAAGTCGCGGACGAAGCGGTGGCCTCGGTGGTACGACGGGTGCTGGTAGTCCTGGAACCGAGCCATGCCCGGCCCGAGCGTGAAGGCCTGGGGGTCGTCCTTGCGGCTGTGGTTGAAGCCGACAATGTATGGGTTCTGGATCCACGCGGTGGGATGGGACTGTGCGGCATGGAAGAAGGCAATGTTGTGCGCGGAGATGCTCTTGTGCATCCAGCCGACCTTGTGGCAGTCCACGACCGAGGCGGCGAGCTGGTAGGCGAGGAGGTATCGGTCCTCGAGAGACGGTCGACTCCTCGTGTCCATCGTGGCCAGAATGACGTCGGACAACGTTCTCGGGGTGATTGTTGTCGGCACACTAGGCGGAGACTGTTGGTGGCTGGGGGGGAACTCGTAGATGACCCCAAACGCGTGACGGCTCGGCTCGTGATAGTATCCCGAGCATTGGAGGACTTGGTCGATCGGCTTGGCTGGGTTGTTGAGCAATGAAGCGATCGCCTCGACTCTTGCCAGCAACTCCTCACTCACGGATCCTTCCCAGGCCGGGGTGTACCGAATCCATTCCACCACCACTCGGCGTTTGGCCCCACCCGAAGAAGGCTGCTCTTGAACCCAGGCCAAGGCATGCTCTCCAAGATGTCCGCCCGTGCCACCGGTGTCGATTTCGACTCGGCTGGGATCTTCAATGTAGAGCTCCGGTCGCGTTCGCTTTTCCTTCTGGAAAGCCAAGATCGACATGCGTTTGATTGTGAGAAGGAGGCCGATCCTTTCCGTGGCCGAGGAGTTGCGACATTGCCCTTGCAGGGTCTCGAGCACGGCCAGGTCTTCGGTCTTGACGAGGTCTTCTTCCACCTGAGATCGCGACAGGCTTTGGAGTTCGGCCGGGAGAAAATCGTGGAGTTGGCTTATAAGAGCGCGGAGGTCGCCATACAGAGGACTGACGGCGGCGGCGTGGCGCTCCAGGATCGACGACACTTCCTCCTTGCATTGAACCAGTACCCGGACCACCGGATCGATTTCGGTCATCGGGTCTTCGGTGAGCCTCCATGGGCTGTGTTGGGCCGTGATAATGGACTGGAATAAGGTGGTCCAGGCTCTGAAGCGTCTGCTTTCGATATCGGCCTCGATCGAATCGGTGCGTTGGATGAGTGTCGAAAACAGATTCGCCACGTTGTCGGTGTAAGCGGCGACGGCGATGCAACCCAAGTTCCAGCTCACTTCGGGGGCTCGAGGTCGGTCGTCAGGATTGAGCGCCAGCATCGACCTGACCAACTGAAGACAGAGTCGGTGAGTTTTGTCTCCTTGCCGCTCGAGCTTGGAGAGCCACGTGTCGACGTTTGGATTGGGCTTGAACCGGCCGCCGTGGAAGGTCCGTGTCTTGTACCCGTTGACGTTGATTTCGCGCGCGTCCTTGAAACGCAAGGTCGAGCCGGGGCCTTGTAGCATGTACGTCAAGAGCTCTGCAATGATACAACCAAAGGACCAAATGTCACTCGGCCGACTGATGATATGCTTCTTGAAGTTGTCTTCGAAATCCTCGCACTCGGGAGCCAAATGATAACCCTTTCCGATTTCAAAGGGTTCTTTGGACGACTCGGCAGCGTCTTTGAACCTGGACAGTCCAAAATCAGCGAGTATCAGCGTTTGGCCGTCGAAAAGGACATTGCTGGGCTTCAGATCGTGGTGGCAGCCAATGAATTTCAGGTTCAACGTCTTGCTCGTAAAATTGTGGACGGTGCAGATGGCCGAGGAAAGCTGGGCCAAGGCATAGAAGAATGCATCGTCCGACGTGAACCCCTCCGGTCGAGCTTTTTCGAAGAGAGCGGCGAGGGTTCCGTGAGATACCAGTCGGAACATGAGATTGTGTCGTCGCCGGCGAGTGTATGAACTCAGGATCCCAACCATGTTCGGATGCTTGAGCTCGCTGAGCAAGCTCAAGTTGTGCAGCTCTTTGTCCCAGTCGTCTTCGCCGCTCGTGTAGCTCGTGAATTCCTTCCGAACCGCCCTTAAATTCTGCATCCAAATCAGCAACGACAACAACAACAGGAAACAATGAGTGTAGATAAAATCTGGACTGACATCTTCCGGCGGAGTGAAGGCAAGTGTTTGATGGTGTGCGTCCAGTTCGATTTCGAAAACATCGCCGAAGCCTCCAGTGGCAATGGGTTCGTTTCTCACGTACGGCAGCGTGATCAAGTCATGGAGTTCTCGGTGCAGCACTCCCTTGGAGAATATCGGTGCAATCAACTCCCACTGTATCTCGTAAAACTCGGTGGCGATGCTGGGGACGATGGTCGTCAGGGTCTCGAGAGCAAATGGGAGCCTGAAATCCAGAGGCGACGCGGTGAGTTGATCATGTTTGACGAATTCGACAATTTGGGATTCTTCCCCTTTCAAGAGAACAAGGATTGCGAACAACTTCTGCCCGCCCTTGAGAATTCGGTCGGTGAGGTCTTCAATGTTGATGGCCGAGATCCCGCTCTGGCGAAGCGTGTCCGAGATTCTTTCTCTAGTCAGCAGTCTGTAGAGTGACTTTTGAGGGATGAAGAATTGGCCCTCTGGGACGCTGCTCCGGCGCAACAGCCTCAGCTGCTCCCGTAACCGATTTCTCGACATGTTAACTCGGCGGCCGCGATGGATGATGAGATCTAGAAAGTAGGGAAGGTATTGCTTAGTATTGGAATGTTACACGTGTATGGTACAGCTGCAGGGAACCAGTCATCTGCATGTCCTGGTCGTGGAAGCCATCACGATTGCATTCAGTGCTGTCCAAAGTGAGGGGCTATCGCCAAGCGGTGTGTTCTTGCAATGCGGGTGGCCTGGTGTCCAGGTGACACTGCCACGGTGGCTTGGATTGATGAGGGGCAGCAGAGGCACAAGAACGGGCCATGGCTTGTGGCTAAAACAACTAACAGACAAGAGATCAAGATCGGTCATGGTCATGTAGAAAGGAAGCACTGGAGGATGGAAAAAGCAAATGGGTGGAAGAGCCGTTGGACTGCGATACTCATTTTGACATTTGACATATGACATCCATTTTCTACCTGAGCTGTTTCCTTCCCAGCATGGTCATGCTCAGCGTCTCGGAGGAGGACTCTGGACGGACTCTATCTGAGCCTGGAGGACGTCAGCCGCTGATGGGAACTTAGAGCGCTCGACTGGACGGGAACAGAGAGCTCTAACTCACGGCCGTCAATTCTTGAGTCTGTGGTATGGTGACGAGAACATGGTCGTCCTCATCCTTCGGGCTCACGTATCAGCCAAAAGACTTCGAATGGCCCTCTGCCGACATCCTGGGGGGATAGTCACCTCAACGTCAAAGTTTCCGTTTCCAAACAAGCTGCGTAACAGGCGAAACAACTTCTCCTTGTCAAGATAACGGCCGGAAATCTTTTGCTTCACCATGACGACTGAAGGCGGTTGGATGCTATCACTGCTAACTCTCGCGGTTGTGGTTGTGGTTGTGGTTGACGCTGTGAGACGTTGGGCGCGCAAGTGCAGAAAACGCGCCTGAAATCAGGCTGCCACGTCCAGCCTCTGGGCGGCTGCATGGGAGTTTCTCGCAGTCATTGGACGACAGGCAAACGGCTGGATTTGCACTGTTGTACACCGGTTTTGCCGGCCAGATCTAAATCAAGTTTGGGAAACTAATTAAATAGTGACGTGACCCCCAATCTGTGCTTGAGAGAAGACCGTTGAATCAGGCATAGGCAGGCTTGGGCAACGGAGTGTGAGTGTATGAAATCCAACACCTTCGTCTGATTGTGCGTTCCTTTCTGTGTGCAAAGTCGGATTCATTCTCGGCGGGCAAGGCTGAATATTCCAACCAGATTCGTATTGCAGACATGGATGCTTCCTTCCCGAATGAACCCCAGAGCAGCAGTCCCGGGCTGTGCGAGTCTGTGAGCCGTACAGCCGACGATGCCGGCTTCTACCAGAGTCGATTTGGGGAGGAATCGGTGCGTCTTTTCGGGGACAACGTCGACGAGTTGGAGTCTTTGGTCATCTCGTGCAACGAATCAGGTCAGTGGGGCGAAGTCCACAACTCATTGAACATGGATGATTCTAAATGGAATTGATCAGACCCGGCTTCTTCACAGACCATGAGGGGGGTGGACGAGGTTCTGAGAGTACGTGATAGTGAACGAAACTCAAGTCGAGGAGCGCTGTCTAATCGCCGTTTCACCTTCGCAGGAAAATCGGGAGGACGCCAAATTGTATTTTCAGTATGTCCCTCACCTCGCTAGCCAGCACGCTGGGTTGAGCTGACTCCCCTACAGTGTCATCCGGCAAGAGTACTCCTGGGGCAGATTCCTCCTTTCTCGAACGTCCCTTGAAGCTCTCCTGTCGTACCACAAGGTGTTCCCGCGCTTTTACGACGTCATCAATGCCTTCGGGTTCAAGACTACAGAGGACGACAAGGTGTGGGAAGGGTTTCATTCTCGTCGCACCTTCATGCCCCAAGATGTGTTCAAGCACGATCAATTCGGTAAGAGACCCCAGTGATATGCTTTAATTGAGGTATGGAGGAAGTAGATGACTGACGGACCAGAACTCTGCTATTGTATCCGGTATGTCCACAAGCACGGCCGTGACCCGAAGAAGCCTTGGTCGTTGCGACAATTAGGAGTCTATCAGCAATCCCAAGGCTCAGACCAGCCACCAACATGGATTCTTGTCCAACCTCCCGAGCGACTGGAGCAACGGTTGAGAAACATCCTGTTGGCCACCGTCAAGGATCGAGGAAATATGCAGACTATCAATGCGGTGCTACACTTGGTCGTGCTGTCGACAGCGTTGAGCAACTGGGACGAGTACATCGACTACTCGCGCAAAGAACTCACCGAGCTGGTACGTAATACATCGGATGCTGCTTTGCAGACGGAACTGATACATTTTGAATGATGATTTAGGATGACAAGGCATGTTTCTCTCGAGTCGGCATCGACAACCCAAACGACTACCCCGTTGCATTTGCGGACAAGCAGAAACTCCAAAGACTGCGGAAAAAGCTCCTCAGAACCCTGTCTGTGCTGGACTCCAATATCAGCGTGATTCGAAGCTTGAAATCGCAATACCAACGCGGTCACGGTGGTCCAGCCACCGAAGAATGGGATCTGATCCTTGAAGAGCTGGACAGTCACCTTGCACACTGTGACAGACATCGGCGGAATTTTGCCACTCTGATGGAGGAGACCCACGGAATAGATGACCTGGTAAGTCATAGACGACACAGCCCTCCGGTCCCATATTTTTGTGTGTCTTGCTGATTGCCGAACCGAGCAGCTTTCCAAGATCCTCTCCTTCCGAAACGACCGAGTTCATCTCCGGAATAGCCAGGCCATGCAAGACACCTTGGACGCTCTCAACGAGATATCGGCCCAAAGCGCCGAAGTGGCTCAGCAAAGCAAGCGCGATTCGAGAGTCCTGAAATGGCTTACTCTCATCGCCACCATGTATCTTCCGGCATCCCTACTGGCTGTACGTTTTCTTCCGATCTTGCACTTGGGAATCCGAGAAGAACGAAGGTCCCCCCGCTGATCACTGACGATATCTACTACAGACCTTGTTTAGCTCCAATTTGATCCAGGTGGTCCAGAACGGCACGCCGAGTGACAAAGCGACCCATCTGAAGCTGGTGACGCAGTTTTGGGTCTACATTCTCCTCGCAGTTGTCCTGACAGGTGCCAGCTTGCTTCCCGCCATCCTTTTGCAACGAAAATCTCGGGCCAGGTGAGCGATACATTGGAAGGGTTCGGGTGCTCGATGTTGAATGCAGCTCTCGTGTACTTGCTTGAGGAAAATTGGGAAGGTTATGACACCGTTGAGAGGTGGTTGAGACGTACACAAGGTGGAAGCGCAGTTCAATCAATAGAGAAAACAATACCAACCTTGTCGCTGCTTGCTATTGGTAGATCCGCAATCGCTTGTAGAGCCCTAGGAATGCTCCTTAAGCGACGCCCAATCGCAGAGGAACTGTCACGGGCTCGGTTCAGGTGTGTGGTCTCTCATCAGGAAAATTAACAGGTCTGCAGCTCCGCGTGTGACCGACGGCAGCCGGAGCGCCCAGGTCCCCCCCCCGCGCCAGCCTCACAACGTCGCTCTTCGTGGACAGCCCCGTTGTTTGGAATTTCTGTTATTGTAAGCCTGTCTGCTCGATTCCACTGTTGACACACAAAGCAAAGCTCTGTCCTTGGTGCCATTCCTTTGCATTTTTGCTGTTCGCTGCCGACGGAGCTCATGAGAAGCCCTGAAAAAATGGATCCAAATCAAGTCGATAGAGATCAACTGAGGGCGTTGAGACTCGATCCTGCCGCCAATTCAGCGACAGAGGCAGCAGAAGATGCCGCCATGCTGGAGAAGACATCATTCTATCGGCAGGGAGGAATCTCCAACACATCAAATATCCTACAGTCCAGCGAGGCACACTCGGCCGATCGACTGCGTTTGGACCTGACCGACTTCCTAGCTGTCGCACAGTGGCGACAAATCGAGTACTTCCCCATTGCATGGCAGCAAACCCTGTCGTCCATCGGGGTCGGGGGAACCGCCCGCGTCCGACAGTCGCTCGTCACCTTGGACGTCAGTCTTGCATTCAAGCAGTTGCACCTCGAGAAGGGCACCGACTCGGGCAGGACGGCGGCGCTCCGGGCTTCCATGAACGAAGTCGGCGTCCTGGGACACCCGGTAATCCGAGGACATCCAAACATCATCAGACTGGAAGGAATCTGCTGGGACGTCGCCGGCGACCAAGTTTGGCCGGTTTTGGTCTTCCGGAAGGCGGACCATGGAAACCTGAGGCAGTTTCTCTTGTCCGACGCCGGAAAGCGCCTTGGTGTTGAGCAGAGGCTCCAGATTTGCAGTGACATCGGCTCTGCTCTGATGACTATGCATGCCTTCCGTATGATGTTCTAGCCTTGGGGGGGTTCTGACTTTTGTTTTGGCTCACTTTTGCTGATGTTGTTCTCTCAAGATGTTGTCCACGGCGACCTCAAACCCGAGAACGTCCTGATCTTTGACGACAAGAGCGGCGGGTACACTGCAAGGATGGTTGACTTTGGATACTCCGGACTGTCCCTGGAGCGCTCGGAGGATTCAGAGTTCCATCTGCCCATCTCTCGGCCGTGGAACGCGCCCGAAGTCGAGGAACGGGGTTCCACCCTGCGTTTCTCCGCCGCGAGGAGGGCTGATATGTACTCGTTTGGCATGCTCGCGATCTGGATCCTTTTCTGTAACCACCTGACAGCGTTTGCGGACGCGGCGGGGGATCGAAATCCCAGTGCCGACGCCGACGCCGACACCGACTTGGAACAGCTGCAGATCCTGAAGGACAACGACCTCTTCTTCGCATTTGCCATGCAATGTGCGGAGAATACAGAAGACTTCTCCGAGGAACAGATCAGTGGCCTGGCTTCGTTCTTCAGTTGGAGTTTGGCCACGGACAGTGCAGAGCGCCACCTACCGGCCGAGTGCCATCAAGCGGCAGAGAAAATGTTTCTCGAGCAGCGAAACGCTGGATCTTCTGCAGCCGACAAGGCAGAGGACGCTGCCGTCAAGTCGAAGGTCGCGACACTGACTTCCTTGGGAATCATGTGCACCGATATCGAAGGCCACCAAAGACCGTTCGGCTATCTACAGTGCGTTTTTGCCTTCAAGCCCAACGTGGGCGTTGAGTAGGCTGGGGTTGCTGATTTTGCGGGGCAGCTATTATTCAACAAATTTCGATCTTGGATACAACACGGATCATAGCACTTTTAAGGTATGCTGCTGCTCGGTTCCGTTCCCGCCCGCGGAACTCCTGCTTATCCCCCTCTAGCTCACGGACGCCATCCCCGACTTGGTGATATCGGACTATCGTTTGTGGATCTATCTAAGGCGTTGCTACGAGGCTCGTTACAACGACGACGACGACAGGTGCAATGCAGATTCAAAAAGTGATGCAGCCTTTCAGCTGGCCTTGCTCTCCGGGCTGGGGCTCGATATGCCCGGAGAGAACAACGAGGTGGCCCTAGACTGGCTCTCCAAAAGCACAAAGTTGAAGAAAGACCTCGAAGTGGAGATCGAGAAGATCAGGGGAATAAAGCGACTTTCGTTGAAAAGCCTTGACGTACCCCTCGACGTGACCAACCATGTAGAGAAATACCGAGAATGTGGCCTCCTCGAGGAAGCGCAACGGGTCTACGAAAGCACGGTAAATCGCCTGCGCACGCTGCTGGGCGATGCTCATCCTCTCGTGGCCAGACTGAGACTGGTCAACGCCAAAGCGCTTCAAGGATTGGGGAGCGTCGTCCGTGCGGAAAAGGTTCTCGTCGATCAAATCCATGCCAGCCAGGCCGCGCAGCAAAGCGAGTCCACCGAGGCAGTCGCCGCTCAGATTGATTTGGTGTCCGTCTACATCGACCAATCTCAGTGGCGCAAGGCCGAGGACTTGCAGGTCTCCGTCCTCCAGACGAGCACACGCGTCTATGGGGAAGAGAGCCAACAAGCTCTGACGAGCATGGGCAACTTAGCCGTCATATACTGGCACTTGCTCAAATTTGACAAGGCCGAGGAGATCCTGTCCCGGCAGTTACAGGTCCTGGAGCGGTCGCGGGGCAGGCTTCACAAGAAGACCTTGGCCGCCATGAACAATCTGCCGTCCACATACGAATATCAAGGCCGCTCCGACGAAGCCGCACGGATGAACCTCGAGGCCCTGGCTCTTTCCTCGAAGATTAATGGCAAAGACCATGGCGACACGCTGGTACTGATGAACAACGCCGCAAACCACTACCGCCGGAGAAAGATGTTCGGCGAAGCGGAAGAGATGGACAAACAAGTTGTAGAGTCCAGGAAGCGACAATGGGGCGAGAATCACCCAACAACTCTTGTGGCCATGGGAAATTTGGCGGCGTCGTACTCTCTCTAGGGACGGGCGGAGGAAGCAGAGCCGTTGGAAAGACATGTTGCCGGTCAATTTGCGGCCCAGCTCGGTGCTAGGCATCCGCACGCCCTCACCGCCAAAAACAATCTAGCCCACACCTTGAACGATCTCGGTCGTACGCAGGAGGCAATCGAGTTGATGGCTGATGTTGCGGCTGGTCGAACCGAAATATTGGGGCCCCAGCATCCGGACACGAAGAAGTCAACTCGGAACCTCCAACTGTGGCGTGACACGGTACGAGCCCAACAACCATCATCGGCTGCTACGAGCTCAGGAGGGCTAGGTCCTCGCCAATCTGTCTAATCTCGTTTTCTTTGCCCAACTTGGAGAGCACCAGGAGGAGCTTGTGCGTGTTCACCATTGTATCCGGATGGGTTTCACCCAGGACTCGCTTTCGTGTCGCCAGTGCCTCTACTAAGAGGGACTCGGCCTCGATCCAGTGTTTCATGTTTTGGTGTGTGTTGGCGAGATTGTCCATGCTCATCAGAGTGTCTGGATGGGAGTCACCCAGTTGTGCGCGCGACTCTTCGAGGACGTAGCCTTCCAAATCCAGCGCTTCCTCCAGGCGGCCCTGGCTTTCGTAGACCAAGGCCAGATTTGCAATACTGGTGAGGGTATCCGGATGGCTTCGTCCAAGTGCATATCTCCTTTTCGCCACAACCTTCAGACCTAGATCTTCGGCTTCTTGCAGCTGATCTCGGTACCAATGGTTCAATGCCAGGTTGGCCATGCACATCAGGGTGCTGGGAGAATCCTCCCCCAAGATCCGCTTGCTGGTATCAGTGGCCTTGACGAAGAGCGATTCGGCCTCTTCATACCGCTCGAGACCCTGATGTATCAGGGCGAGGTTAGACATGCTGATTACGGTGTCCGGATGATCGTTTCCGAAAATATTTCTTCGCGCCTGGCAGGCCTGTTCCGCCAGGGGGAGGGCATCGTGCAGCCTGCCCTGGCGCAAGAGAATCGCTGCTAGGTTGGCAATGCTTGTCAGAGTGTCCGGATGATCTTTTCCCAGCGACGCTGATCTCTTTGCTTGCAGCTCGAGCTCCAGCTTCTCGGCTTGCCCGAAATCTCCCAGACTGTTGTAAATGGCCGCAACGTTCCCCGTGATCGTCAGTGTCAATGCATCGTCCGGTCCCAGGATTCGCCGACTGGACTGCAATGCTTCCTCCATCACGCCGAGGGCGCGGTCGAGTTTGCCTTGGCTCCAATGCAGATGTGCCAGATTGGTCTTGCCTGCCACCGTCGCCAAATTGTCTCTGCCAAGGGACGTCTCGTCGAAATTGACCATTTGACTCTCCAGCCTCTCGACCAGGTCCAGGCGGCCCTGGAGTCTCAAACAATCAATCAGCGCTCGCGTAATGAGGTACTTCAGCACAAGATTGTCGATGCTGTTCCCGATGTCGTCCAGCTCCCGGACCAGAACATTTTCGGTCGCTTGAAGCGAGGCAAAATTTTGCCTCTGGCCAATCTGATGCAAGTTCCCGAGAGAGCCCGCGGCCAGTATACGCCGAATCAGCGGATGATCCAGCTGCATGGAGGTCTTGCCAACCGCGTTGATGGCGGCGTGAATCCGTTCGGTCATGTCTTGATTGGCGCAAAGTTGACGAGATCTCTCTTCGTTTCGTGGGACTCCGAATCCGATGTGGTAGCACATTGCCAGCTGCACAGTGTCATTGGTTGTTTGAGCACTTTGGCTCGCGCCGTCGACACGCTGCTGGAGGCATTTTGTAATGTAACTTCGAACACGATGGTCACACTGGTAGTATTGCACGATTGCCGTGTCAAGCTAGAAAACTTAGCAGCATGCCACGCTGACATTAGGTTATCGCAACGACCTACCTTGAATTCAATGGCCGGAGTGTCAACGTCAGTAGGCGGCTGGTGAGCATCTCGGTCTGGCCTGGTGGACAATTAGTGAATATTCAATGCCTCAGTGCTTGAAGAGCGTGGGCTTACTGTTTCAGAAGTTTGAATGAACTCCAGAGAATCTCGTTCCTTGCACTTGGTTCTGAAGCCAAGGCATGGCGGAAAAGTTCTCGCAGCTCAGCCTTGTGCTTTGGTTGAAGCTCATCACCATCGACCAAGTCCAGAACCACTTTCTGTAGCTGTCCGCTGCTCTTGAGTTTCTGCAACGAGCTGATAGAGTTGTTCCCCGAGCAGGGATTTGCGTTGTCGTGAGCGACACATTCGTGAAGTCGGTGCTGGTACAATATCCACGCACACAACAGAGCGTACGAGTAGATATCCGCTCGCTTCGCCTCCTGCAAAGAAAACTCCGTGTCGGACCCGTCGATTTCGGGTGCTTGCCAGGGTTCAGAAAGAGGAAGGCTATAAGCATCTGCAGCACCAGAGTATTGATGACTGTACCCAAAGTCTGTGACTTTCGCGACAAACGTGTCACTTTCCTTGAATATGAGGACGTTGTGTGGCTTCAAGTCTCCATGGATAATATCTGTTCCGCTGTTTGGTAAGTCCTTTCCATCGTATCCAATGCGTGTCAGCAAAACACGCCACTCACTGTGACTGTGCATGAGGGATATTGCGTCCCCGATATCCACACATATTTTAAGTCGATCCAGCGAACCGAGCTGGGTCCATCGGGGTAGACTCGTGAAACGATGAAGGTCCCCAAAATGAGACTTCTCAAAGACCAGTGCAGGCCAGACAATGTCATCGTCTCCAATATCCCAGCAGATTCCAAGAAGATCAACGATGTTGCTGTGAGCTCGAAGCTCGGGATGGCCCAGGGTGGAGACTTCGTTCCAAATGAGGCTGAAGATCTCGCCCTTCTTTGCGGATATTTTTTCTTCGTCCTTGATCAGCTTGAAGGCCAACTCGGTTTGCGCGTCGAGCGGTGCGAGCCGGATGCTGCTGGTTCCGCCGAGGCCAACACTTGCTCGTGCCGTTTGCCAGATGATGGGCAGGCAGCGGACCTCGACGTGGCCGGCCACGGCCAGTATGTCAATAAAGTCAGCGTGCCGGTGGGGTCTCGTACTGTTGGGCCCGTGTCTTTCGGTGCTGAATCGATACAGGAGGAAATGGCTCTCCTGGCCCTCAATCTCGGACCCGACGGCTTCCTGTTGGTCAGGCATCATTTCCGCGCTCATAATGCCATCCATCTCGAAATATGTGGAGGAGTGAGACCCCGTGGCTGAATCACAAAATCCCAGCAGATACCAACGGAGTATGTAACATTCCAGGCCTCACGGATCTAGGCAGCCGAGAAATCTGCCTCCACGTCCGCAGGTTGTCGCAGTGCCGCCATACCTCATCGGGACGGGCTTGGCCAGCACTCGTTGGGGCGCCTCCTTTACTATGTAGCTGCAAGATCTGCTTCTGCCAGTCATGCTTCGACTAAAGCGATCTCGACCACATCTGAGCCTTGTGAGTGTATGCTAAATCGAGTCAATCGAAATTTCTATATCTCCGTACTGACCTCAGAAGAATCTTCTCGGGCCGCATCCTCTGCCAGTGCGAGATGGGCAGGTCGGTCGATCACAACGCCACTGGCTTCGGTGATGCTCGAAACAGCTTGACAGGAATGATTGATCATGGGGCTGTCTGTACTTAAACATCGTGCGATTTTTGGATGTAGACAGGCAATGATACTATCGTGCTCCTCGATCTCCTACGGCAGTTTCCCGGGGAGCACTTTAAGTTCTATAGGCTCAAGAAACTAAGGCTATTGTGGGCTGGGGAATGGTCGCGGCCCCGGTTCTCTTCCTACAATACTCGGTACTACTCGTAGATCTCGTACAAGTTAACCGTGGTAGTTTCCCTTAGGATGGTCTCCATAAGGTCTATAACGTTATGGTTTCAACTTCAAGTACCAAGTCTCTAGGCGTACCTGTCCGGTATAGACGATCACAGCTAAACCTTTACCGAGTCTTTTGACTTACCACCCCTGGAATCTCCACCCATGACTGGTCAGGTGTAAACAGTCCAGTTCAAACGTCCCGGTACAACCATCGTCCTGGGGCCAGGACAATTTCCTAGGTAGGCAGGGCAGAATGATCGACAGGGTCTATGGCACGAACACAGTATCTTGAAACGCTCGACAGCCCTACTGGGCGATACGATGTGTGGCATGCCCAGCTGAATATTGGCGCCTGTGGCGTTGGTTGTTCCACTATTTCTACTTCTCCTGGGAGAAACGATCTCCTCATCGAATCATGTTGGCTGGCAGATATTCTATCCCCCAAGGCGGAAAACGCCCAAGATGCAGCAATTACAGACGGTCTGTCTCAGCCTTGTGAGAACCCATGCTCGGCCAATGAGAAGACCATCGACGAAGCCTTGGCCCCAAAGTTTAGGATCCATTCCCGACTTTGCAACCCGAATACGATTGACGGTGCTGCCCCTGTTCAAGGCGTGGTGGCTTGCAAGATGTATACTATCATGGAGAGGGCATCATGAAGATATACAACCCCTTCATGTTGACTTTGCGAGCTCCTCTCGCCGTCGCTGCTCTCCAACAAATCATTCATTCTTTCAAGTGCAGTCCATGACGGATGCGTCCTCTCCTTCAAACCCTCGTTATTTATCGTGCCTTTTTACATCAATATGATTGAACTCACAGTTGGCGAGGTCTCCGGCGTGATCGCGGCCATCATAACGGCCTTGCAGATACTTTTACCGACAATGGTGGCTCTGGTCCTTGTAGGGCTGCTGAATGCGGATATGACGGCCACCACCTGGTCCTCGGTCAGCGCAACCCTTCACGGCTCATACTGGGCGACTCTTTTTCGCGCAGATACCGTCAGCTCTACCAACGTGCAGAGCACGACGAAATGGCTCCTTCGGCTGGGGGGAACAGCGGCGCTCATCATCTCGCTCGCGTCGATTGTCACCCCAATTGGGCTTTACGACGAAGTTGGAGCTGAGTCGGGGACTCAAGATGTCTCATTCCCCTACGTCGCCGACAGCGGCCCCTTCGGCTACGGGACTCCCGCACGAAGCACGCTGGGCTTCAACCGTCAATGCGGTGTGCCGAGTTGGAGACCCTGTCCTGGGTCCGACACCATCGAAATCGAGTCGGCCGACTCGATCGCCTCTGAATTCCCCTTCGGCTATGATAGTCGCGTGCCCTCGGACAAGATTACGCTCTTCCAGAGCGGGTTAAAGGAACAGGAGCAGACAGTATCAAGCATCTTTGACATCCAGTTTCGTTCACACACCAAGAGACAAGATCCAGATGTCAACAACGGCTCCTTCTATGAGACCGGCTCCTATCGACAGCTGGGGACTCTGATCCTCGACGACACGGTGGAAGCAGTTGAAGGCTTGGTGGTGGACATGGTCAATGGCGCCGTGGCTTTCCGGAACCACACCCTGCCCGCTACACTGACCTTAGGCGGTATCTGGCAGGAAGAGCTTCTGGTCATGCAACCCGAAACGCAGTGCGTGAATACAAATCTCACCATCGACTTCACGCTGTCGGGGCTCAATGGCTCAGTCGGCGGCAGTGTGCGAGACATTGTCCTTACAGACCGTGGCGGCTTCGCCAATATCGTGCAGAAGCTCCCCGAGTACGACAGGTCAGCCCCCCAGGTCAACGCTGACCTGCAAGGCCGAGCTTATCAGAGTGCATGGTTTTTCAACGTCCTCCTCGCCGTGTATTACAACGTCACGCGACCGAGCCCCGACGTCTTTGGCTATCTCGAGTCCGAAGTCGGCAAGACATTCCAGCTTCCCGAGACCACGCTGCTGAACATCGACGAGCTGGCAATCTCGTCGTACAGCGAGGTGTTCTCGACCTTCCTTGCCAACGACAACAGCTCCTTTACCAGTGACGACAGTTTTCCGTACTGGCCGAACCCGTTTGGCATTTCTCGGTCCAATTTCAGCGACATTCTGGACGAATGCAATGGAGTCAACCCGTTCAGCAAATCCAACATGTCGAATGTAGGGGTGGCCTGTGGCCTGATATATGGTGTTCCCCGGCTCGCCAACGGCAACACAGAGCTTGTCTACGAGCCCGGAGCCCGTCTGTCAATGCCGCTGATCTCTTGTGCGAGCGCAGTCAAAGTGAGTGTGCAGACATTCAACTTCCGATTCAACGGCACTTCGGGTCTAAGGTCACTGCATGTTGACTCTATCGACCCTCAGAGTCCTTCGTCCCGTCCGTTATATTGGGGCGTTGAGAACAACTCCAACCTTGACTTGACGATTACGGATGCGATACCGCTGTGGGGGCTTGTCTCGAGCGACACGCGCGAATCCTCGGCGTTGTCGGTGGTCAAGTCTCCTCACCTGTACCTGACGGCGTACATGAACGCCTTCACGACCGGGCTCGGCTCCACCGGCACAGACAACATGCCGGGGCTCAACTTCCCCACCAACGCACTCGCCTCTGTGTACAACGGCGACGTGTTTGACAGCTCAACGGGCTATGGGGATTACAGCGGCAAGAACTCGTTCGCCATGTACGCGCAATGGCAGAAGCTCTCGGCCACCACCAACGGGACCGCCCGCATCGTCAATCTGATCTATACCGATGTGCTGGCGAACGGGCTGGTCGGCACGAAGTCCTGGCTTCCAGCATCCGACGCCATCCCCGGCACCGCCGATGGCTCTACCGCGACCCAGAAGCGCAAACGGGCCGCTTCTTCCACCGCCACCGCGGAGAGCTCCTCGCCGACCACGGCTCAAGTGCCTGTGCAAGTCTTTACTCGTAAGATCCGGTACCATTGGGTATACGGCATCCCGGCCTACGTGGGAGTGTTCCTCACCGGAATCGTGGGGTTCATGACTTTGGTCCTGCTCTGCCTGGGTCGTGCATCCCCGTCCAAGATGCGGACGTACCTCAACGCTACATCCCCCGGTCGGATACTGACCATGTTTTTGTATCCCGGGGAGTATGAACCTCAGGCATCAGCGAAGCGTTGGGGACACGGTGTTGGCGCAAAGAAGGTCCGCATCGGAAAGCCCACGTGGGTTCCTCACGCGAGCCAGCCTCTACTGTATCCTGAGAAACTGTTCGCGTACGGATCCAGCCCTGGCGCCGTGAACCACCACGGCTTTGAACCCGAAACCGACGTGGTTCCATTGATCGACCAGAAGACCGGGGCTGGGATCCAGATGACGCCTATGGGATCGCCAATGCCGGGTCTAGGGCCCGGTAGCAACGGCTTTCCGGGGCCTCAATACCAGCCGCACCAGGGCTACGTGAATCAATTCGGTGGAGGACAGCAGCAGGGCGTCGGTGGCACGCCGCACTTTCCTCCGCCTCCAACCAGGCTCGCCGACGGTGGGTATCCCGCCGGTGGTTTCGCGCGATGATCAATAGTCACGACCACAGGCAGACATTGAGAAAAATGAATATTGGAGAACGGCTGTCGATCTGCTCCCTGTTCGGCGTCAGGGCCAGCAACATCTTTGACAGCCCCTGGTCTACCTCTATGAGCCGGTCTCGTTTGCCGCTGCATCCCCAGGAACGCCGTGGTTCGCGAAACTGGCTACATAGCCTCCAATGGCTTTGCCTCGTCTTCGTAGGGAGACCCAAACACCGTCCGTGCCTTCCGGATCCTCGCCCAGATTGAGCTTGGGCTTTCTCCCTCGCCATATCATAATGCTGGGTACCTAGGTAGTTCACGCCAATACGCCCGCCTCCAAGGTGGGCCCCACAAAGCAAAACAGATGTATATCGTCGCGATGCTCTAACGTGTATCCCTTCGTGCCAAGAGTCCCGCCGTACTAAATTCCGGGGGGGGTTCCCGAATTTGCGATTCCACCACAATGGTCCCTTGACAATAGCCTGACGGAGTTATTTGACAAGGTATTCTGTATTAAGTGTACTATGGATTGCATTACGGCGACATTCCTTGCTGATCTAGGTGGGGAGGCAGTCCAGTAGTATCTGCACTATCTTCTCGTGTTGATGCCGCCTGTAGTGCGTTACCATAGACGCCGCCTCGTGCGTTGACATCGGCACCCTTGTCCAGTAGTATCTGCACTACCTTCTCGTGGCCACCCTTTGATGCCGCCTGTAGTGCGTTGCCATACTCGCCGCCTTGTGCGTTGACATCTGCTGCTGACATGGATAGAATAAATATCAACACTTCGTCTTGGCCAAGAAGAGAAGCATAGTATGTTGCCGAAGGATAATCTTTAGCGACTGTGGAGTAATCCACGTCAGTT